TTCCAATTTTTTTTTATTACTACAAATTTATGACATGGCACTATGTAGTATATTAATATTATTATGTATTATTACACCATTTAATCATAACCGTAAATTGACAAACTTCAAATGACTTTAAGTTTGAAACTATTGATCAGCTCCAATTTTTTTTTGCGCCATCATTTTAAAATGTTAATTTACCTATAGTTCAAAAAGAAAAAAATGGAAAAATTTTTCGGTAGCTAAACTGCAATTATGCATAATTTATATACACATGAACATAATCTATTTAGATATAATTGAATGCATATGCGTGTCCACCTTTTTCGTAAAGGGTACAATCTAATTTATTTTTGGTACTGAAAGTCAAATTGGACTCTTTTCTATAAAACATAATATTATTTAAAAAACTAATCTGTATTAATTGCTGTATATACCAGTATATTAACATATACTAAATTTTTAGGATTTATCTTTCAAATATCCTCGTTAGAAATTACCTAATTTTAAGGATTTTGTAATCAAAATAGAATTGTTGTAATTTCTTTGTCAGCCATCCATAAAATTCAATATCTTTTCACTCATTCTAATGCAATTTTACAGGCATGTATCTTATGTGAACCGTGTATACTGCCATACAACACAATTGTAGTAGTCTTAATTGTCAAAATTATTCAAAACTTTTTTTTTTTGAAGTACCTACGTGTTATTTTGAAAGATGTACAGAATTTTAGAATTTTCTTTTTTTTGCCAAAAAAATCGTTATTTTTACCAGCTAAGGTAGCAGCCCTATTAATTTAATCTGTTCAAAACTGTTCATGATGACCGTTATAAGATAATATTTCTATAGATTAATTCAAGTGCCAATTTTAACAGGAGAATTTATGATTTTGTTTAGCTAAAACCTACTTTAAAATGGCCACCTAGGGTGCAGGTGCATACTCTTTCTTCTCCAAGGACACGCCTATTATGAGTTAATAATGTATATCACAATTACGACTATCAGTTATTATATTCTTAATTCTTGAATGTATTGCTAAATAAATAACATATACATTATTTTAAGTTTAAGTAAATACATTCTTCATTATAAACATGTAATAAACATAGAACTAGACGAAATTTGCGGTCGTTGATGATTAGGACATTCGGATAATTATTTGAAGGGGATACCCTTAAAAGGCCTTAATATTTATAATTTGAAATTAATACATTTCGTAAATTTTGCTGTTTTTCCTACATTTTTTCTGGTATTTTCTATATATTATGAAAACTCCTTGGAAAACCAAAAAATAATATTCTTGAAATACTATTCCATTAAAATTTCCTTTCAGAGTAAGAGCTAAATTTGAAAATCGAAGCAAAATGTTTAGTTCTTCACAGAAAACAAAAAAAAAACATCATTGTTAAACTAATAAATTGTTTGCTCTGCTCAAAATTTAAAATTACACATTTAAAAAAAAAAATTGTATAGGTACAGAACTCATTAACCAAATCGAAATTCCCAAATAATTACTATTATTATGTTCTTATCTTTATAAATAAAATTTAACTATCATCAATTAACGTAGAAATTCCTGAAATATATTAATATTTAGGCCGTCGTTCAAACCGCACACTCTTTTACCTTAATCCCGCATATTTTACCCAAATCAAACCGTTCAATACCGCATACAAGATATTTATATATAATACATATACCTACATAATATATTATATATCTATAATAACGTAGACATTTATCAAAATATGATAAATTTTTATAAAAACGACATAATCATAAAAATTAAACTTTCGGGATTATACGCAGATTGCTATAAATTTATAACGTATTTATAACATGTTTCCTATTTCATCAGATAAGATACGATTATGGTTTTATTTTCCAAGTATTATTATGTACCTAATAAGATAACAACAGTGTGTTTGCATCTGTTTTCGACTTCACGTACATTTATAGTGCTTACAAAAATTTAACATCGAATTAATATTCTTGCGGTTATTTATTCGATAAAATTCGCATAATGGATGACGTGATACAAATGTATACAAATAATAAAGGTGCGCAATCAATTATGTACCAAAACTATAGATATCGACTTTTTCGAACAAATAAAAATTTCGGGGACTTAGTTTGGCGGTGCAATTATAAGTTATTTAGTGTTATGGTGACGACAAATGCAAATGTTAATGTATTTATTGAAAAAAAATAAAAGTGAACATAACCACGAAAAAAATGTAATTAATCCAGAAGCAAAAGAAATTCGATGTGCCGTTAAACGTAAGTCACAATTAAAATTATATGAAAAAATATTAAAAATTTTAAGGCAAGAATTATGTATATCTTTCAGTAAGTGCAGATAACATTGATGCTATGACAGTCTATGATTCGTGAAAGACGAAAACTTCTACCCCCTGTGCCTGTGTCACTATTAAATGCTCTTAATAAGATAAAGGAATCAAACATCATACTAAATAATGGTGAAAAATTTGTGTTTGTGAATGAGTTCGCTAAAATAGTTATAGTGACATGTAAAACAAATCTCCAATTTTTTATGTAATGAAATTGAATTTACATTAGCAGATGGAACTTCCACTTATTGTCCTAAACATTTTTACCAACAATATACCATCCACGGTATTTGTAAATAATTTTACGTACCACTTGTTTTTTGTTTTTTACCATCGAAAACAAAAGAAATTTATAAACAAATGTGGGAAACATTAAACAATTTATGTTTAATTTATGCCAATAGTGTATTCCAGCTTTCTCTCTTACTATTAGATTTTGAACTTGAAGCTCACATTGCTGCTAAAGAAGTATTTCCATTAATTATTATTAAAGCCTGTCGTTTCCATCTTGGTCAAGCATGATACAGAAAAATCAGTTCTATTCCAATATTAAAAAAAAATATACTATGATAAAAATTCACAATCTGGATTATGGCTAAAACTTTTTTTTGGTTTGCCTTATTTACCATCACGATTCCTGGTGCGTTTATTGAGATAATAGCCACTTGTCCAGATGAAAAACAATTTTATAATTTTGCTGATTACATATTGGATAATTATATTGAGACCAATCATTTTTCACCAATATTGTGGGCAGAAGAGCCCAATAAAAGTACAAGAACGACAAACGGCGCAGAAAGTTATCACAGTAAACTTAGGGATGAATTTTACGTTCCTCATCCTACTGTATTTTATTCAGTAAGAATATGAATTTAAAATAATAAATATATTTTGGGTTATTATTAATTTGTTTGTGTTTATTTTATTTTTTTCAGATAGATGTGTAAAAACAAGAACATAAAATTACTGAAACCAAACTTCGACTCATAAGAAGCAGCAACGTGAAGAGTACACGCAAAGTAAGTAGGGAGAAAGAGAAATCAATTTTAAATGTATATGATCGTTTCATTAACAACCTTTAATTGATTATTCAAAACATTTAAAAACATTGATTTTAACAACTACTAACAATAACTTTTATATTAAATTATTTTTTTCATATGTATTTATACTTTATATTTACTATGTATACATATCTATATGTACTATATTTTTAACTGTTAATCAAATGTGTGCGGTTTTGAACTATCGACCTATCAAATTTCCCTTTTTAACAATAGAAAAAAAGTGTGCGGTATTGAAGGGTGTAAAATGTGCGGTTATAAAGGTAAGTGTGCGGTTTTGATGACCGCCGAATATCTAACCAGGTATGAAATATTTTAAATAGCTAAATATAGGTATGTAAAAAATATTAAATCTGATCTTTTGTATAAGTTTAGTTCCCTTACTTGAGCTAGTTGCTTTTCAGAATCACGATGAATGTGTTTGAGTGCACTTCGAATACGCATAATATACAATAAAAAGTCTTGAGTAAGACTGCCATTTGAGGATTTTCCCATACTCGAAATGAGCCTAACTTTGAAATTGTGTGCTGCAAAAAATTTTGTTTTATTTAAAGTTTGAAATTTTATATTTTAAAATAAAATGTTCAACAAATTTTTTTATTAAATACTTAAGTTGATAAATAAAGGTTGCTTGGAAACAGAGCTATATCTATACAGGATTTTATGATAATGATATATTATACACCGTTAAACATGTTAAGTTTGCTTAGCAAAATGTTGGTACGTACAAGCACTCATTGGTAGAACAGACGAATTTTACACCCTCGTAATTTCATCCCTGATTGTTAAATTTGTTCGAGGTAATATTTTCCCAACAGTAACAGGCGAATTGTAATCTACTTATAATTTGTACAACTACATTTGTACAAACTTCTCTTAAATCAATTTCATGAAGGCCTCAATAATCAATAAACATGTAAATAAAATATGTTATACCTAAATTATTTATAAAATATAAATGTTTCCTCATTATCCTAACTGTAAAACAGAAACATACACTTATTATAAATTTACAAATATGAAATTTATAGTTATAGTTAAAATATTAAATATAAATTAAATCAAGTAGGTACCTAACATTCAATAAAACATTTAATTTTTGTTATTCATATAATGTAATAATAGTTAATAACTAAATAGTTGGATATGATTTAAGACTTTTTTTGGAGAAAATTATTTTTTAAATTTTATTATCCATAAAATACTTAACAAATCTATTTCTTATATTAATTTTAGTACTTGAAGCTCGATTGTTAGCTCTGCCTATGCAATTTGGCGATATCATTTGTTTATGACCCTTGGATGTGTCTGTTCTATAATCTTCGAGGACGTAATGGTATGTTAAGGATTTTTTTTCTAAATCTATTATTGTATTGTGTAAAATACAATTAGCTTTTACAATATGATCTGCGTTTTCTACTTTTGTTTCTATTGATTTTAATAGAATTCAAAATTTTGAAGAAGCTATGCCAAATGCACACTCTATAGTCATTCGCGCTCGCGCATGTCTATAGTTGTAGTATTGTTTTTCGTTTTCTTGACATTGTTTTCTTGGAAATGGCCGTAATTTCTTAACGGAAAAGCTTCATCCCCTATAAATACACATGGCGCCAAGACGTTAGAATCTGGTAATTTTATTTCAGTAGGTTGTTTAAAGGAACCGTTTTCAATACGTTAGTAAAATTTAGAATTGACCATAACACTACCATCGTTATCATTCCCGTATCCACCTACGTCTACCATTAAAAATTTATTTCTTGCATCAGCTACTGCCATCAGAATAATTGAATAATATTGTTTATAATTAAAATATATACTTCCCGAATTTGCAGGGCATCGCAGTCTATTGTGTTTACCGTCAATACTTCCCACACAGTTAGGAAAGTTCCATTTTTCGTAAAATTCTATTGCTGTGCTCTTAAAAGTATCGACACTTGGAGAAGACATATGTTTGAATTTTAACGTATGCCATATTGCTTTACACACTTCAATAATAATATTTTAGACTGTAAATTTAGATATTCTGAATGATATGGCCAGGGCCGTCCTTAGGGGGGGGGGCGAGCAGGGCCCAGGCCCTGGGCCTCGCGTTTGAAAAAAAGTAGTAATTTTTTTATTTAAATTGTATTTTATATTATATAAATTATATAAAAATAACGTAGTTGATTCAAAGTAAAAGGATTGAAGTATCGATAATACAATATTATCATAATTGGTAATCACAACAAATCAGCCGTGGTGATGCGGGTTTTTCCCGACCGTCTTTTTCGTCGAATTGTTATTAGTTAATATTTATTAGTAATAGATAAGATAATAATAGATTTAAAACGTCGCCGTCGCTCGTCGGTTGTCACCGTTGGAAAAACATTGATAATAATAAACAGTATTTATTAAGCAAATAGTAGGTTGACCGATTTTATTAGTAGTTTTTACTTTTTCGTGTGTGCGTTTGCTGTTGACGTCGCCACGTCGGTTGTATCTAATATTCTAATACATTAATAGATATTAAAATGAGTGGTCGATTACGGGATAAATATCGACAATTTAAAAGTGGTAGCGATAAACGAAAACGTAAGTTTGCTATTGAACATCAAAATGAACGTCAAAGCTATTGAACATCAAAATGAACGTCAAAAAAACTCTTTATTCAAATTTTTCAAAAAACATCATAATGATGATACTATAGCCGATAGTGGTGAAATTGAAAGTGAAAATGCGAATCTCCAATTGAGCGATAGTGCCAATGTTAATTCTGAAAAAGTAGAAGTTTAATCACTTCAATCCAATAGTGATAGTGATGAATATGAAAATGTGCAACTAGTATCAGACGATTTACGACCGAAAGAAGACGTCGAGAGCAGAAAAATACATGAAGAAGAAAACAACATCGACGATCCAGGTAACTGGCCACTAAATATTAATGATAACTTACGGATTTATTTAGTTAAAAACCCACCTTCAAAAATTAAAAACTATAAGTTTCCATCTAACGATGAAGGTCGTAAATTTAGTGTAATACATTATAATAGAATAATGGCCAACGGTGAAAATGTGATTAGAAATTGGCTTTTGTATTCTAAATCTTTTAATCGAGTATTTTGTCCCTATTGTCGTTTGTTCCCGTCAAAGTCTACATCATCTTTGGCATCGATAGGATTTTCAAATTGGAAACACATTAATGAACGTTTAAAAGAACATGAATTATCTATCATAATACGGCTCAAGAAAAATGGATACAATTACGTATGGGACTTGGTCTCCATAAAACTATAGATAATAACAAACAAGATAATTTAAATATTGAAAAAGAACGTTGGCGTAGTATTCTTAAACGAATTATTGCATATATAGAGTTTTTGGCAGAACATAATGACGCTTTTCGTGGTACAAGTTCTAAATTATATACAGCGAATAATGGTAAATTTTTAGTACTAATACAAATGATTGCAAAATTTGATATTATTATGGCCGATCATTTAAGACGCGTATGTAATGATGAAATACATGATCATTATTTAGGACCTAGAATTCAAAACGAACTTATTAGTATTATTGCCACAAAAATACGTGATGAAATAATTAATCGCGTTAAGCAGAGTAAATACTTCACGATTTTATTAGATGGAACACCTGATAAAAGTCATAAGGAGCAGCTTACATTTCTTTTACGTATTGTAGAAATTTCGAAAAATTTGAAATATGAAATAAATGAATATTTTATATGCTTTATTCACACTTCAAATAAATCTGGTTTAAATTTAACTGANGTACAATCCCGAATTATTTCAGAGAACCCAAGAGCTTTTTTTATACCATGCACTGCGCACAGCCTTAATTTACTTCTCGGGGACATGGCATCGTCTGTACCGGCTGCTATGACATTTTTTGGCGTAATTCAAAGAATTTATACAATTTTCAGTGCTTCTACTAAAAGATGGACTATTCTTTTAAAATACGTTTCAGACTTTACTTTAAAACCAATGTCAGATACCAGATGGGAATCTCGGGTCGAATCAATTAAACCTATTCGTTTTCAATTATGCTAAGTACACGATGCTTTAGTAGAAGTCAGTGAATTAACAAAGGATCCAAAAATAAAAAGTAAAAGTTCGTCTTTGGCAAATTATGAATTTTTTTATGATTTTATTTTGAGTGTTTTTATTTGGTATGAATTACTATCTGCTATTAATAAAGTTAGTAAGAGTCTTCAGAGCGAAAACATGGAACTGAGTAATGCTGTTCAGTTATTAAGTGGTCTTAAACATTTTTAAATAATTTTAGAGAAAAGGGGTTTGAGTTATCAAAGAAATTTTTTGTGTGATAAGAATTATGGATGTCATTATATTATTAGATTATATTATATGGGTATGGATATATAATACCTAAAAGGTATTACAAGTATTTTCGCCCTGGGCCTCGCAAATCCTAAGGATTGCCCTGGACATGGCGATTTGTCTGAACGCTAGTCCTGTTGCTAAGTACCTACAAAATATATTTTCACAAGTTTAGTTACGAATAAAAATTGGCTCACAGAAGAAGATTTAAAATGGAAATTGAAAAATATAAGACTCTTATTTAAAGAAAAGAAAAAAGTAAAAAAGAGCCATTTGGGAGACCCAAGAAAATGCAGAGGTGTATAAAGATAAATGGTTCTATAATCATTTATTGCATTTTTTAAAAGATACAACCACTCCCAGAATTACCGAAGGAAATGTGTCTGATAAAAATGAAATGTCTGACTTATCAGATTTAGAAGAAGATATGTCATTTTCTGGTAGTTTTAATGTAACTAAAGATATTCTAAGTCCAGTTTCTGTCCCAGAATTATCTTTCACTATTCAAAGTACTTCAAATTTGTCGCATGATAATATTTCAACAAGTATTTCCAATGATTCAGATACTTCTTTTAGAAAACCTTCTGCAATAAAAAAAAGAAAAAACAAGTTTTGAAAGTGAAATATTAAAATTGGAAAACTAAAAAATAAACATATTATTTGAATCTAATAAATCACAATTGCAGGGTGATGAAGATATGATGTTTTTAAAATCACTTCATCCATATTTCAAAGATACGAATAATTAAAAAAAATTAAAAGTAAGAAACGAAATTCAAACTGTATTAATTATAGAATTATCAACAAACAAACAGCAACATCAAAATGGACAAGAACCATCTATACCAACACATGAGCTGTACATTCGTCAACAAATTCAACACCAGATACCCACTAATTTATCAGATAATCCAACTTTCATTGTTTGCCAACAGTACTAAGTAAAAACAAAATTGTTTTAAATAATAATTTACTTTCAAGGAATTCAATTTTTTTTTTTATAATCTAAAGGTCTTATTTATTTTACATTACAATATATTTTAATACAATTTTAATTGTTGTATGATATGCTTTTTTATTAAACTTACCTTATTGTTACAAGTAACCTATGCTCTATGGAAATTGCTCTAGGTTCTTGGAAATTTGTAGTTTTAAGATCAAATTCCGGCGATATTAAATTTACAATATAATCAAATGTATCGGTAGTCATTCTAGTATAAGATCTAAATGTCTAAGTTTCTTCTTTACGCAACTGTAGGTATAGGTTATAGAATTCACCAAAAACAAGTCTATCCTTATAAATAATTGAATTTAAAACTGATCTCTTTTTTTTTTTAAATATTTTTTATACATCAAATATTTCACTTCAGCACTTTCCAATATTAACATTTGTTTTTGTAAACTAAAAGATATTTTTAGTTGTTTTTGTTTTTAAAAGAGTAGAACATAAACGTGTAAAATATACCGCGTAACCTTTGCACAACTCACTTCAAAATACACTGCACGTAAAAAAAAAAAAATAAAAAATATCTAAATATGGTTTACCCGCAAATTCGCGTTCGCCACGTTCACGTTGGACACACCGTTAGACTCATCCATTTATAAACTGAAGTATGACGATTTTGATAAATCAGTCTGTAGTTGAATTTTTTGATTTGAAGATAGGGCTCCAGTACGACGCATTACTGTGTTACTTGATAGTAAAATTGAATAAATAGCACCCAAAATTTCACTTTTATTTTTAAAGTTTGTAAATAATGAGTTAGAAGCTTCTTTACTTAATTCACCATCAGAAAACGTTTTTTTCTTCTTTGCTAATCAGTATGCTACTTTGAATGAAGCAATAGTTACATTTTGAGCATAACAGACTGCTTTGGTTCAGTTTTAATTTCATTGTGTTTAGCTTATCTTATCGTTGGATACCTTAAATCGAAATCTGCATGTTTATAGTTTGGCAGTGCTTTTGTATATTTCCACTTTGAAAATTGAAAGAGTATCTCGGCATAATTAACACATGCACTTGACTTCAATGTCAACAAAAACAAACTCTAACTCCCATTTTCAATTAAAATGATAAGTTTTACACTTTTTATTGGCATTCGTTTTATTGTTTAAAAATTAAAATTATAAATAAATTCGGATAAAATAAAAATGAAAATATATGGAACATACAATACGCATTACACGCTTGCACGTGACGACTAATTGACAGTCTAGTTATAATTAACAATAACTCTCACGGTTATTTTGACTATCACACGATTGACCGATAATGGTAAATTCCTAGATTACAATATAGCGATCTATTAATATTTTACAAGATTTATTGAAAAAATATAATTTTAAGTATATTCATCGAACAGTTGGAATGATACAGTTTGAAGTAAATAAATCCAATGAAGTAAAAGTTTTAATTAAATTATTCCCTAATGGAATATCTAAATCAAAAATTTAATTCAAGATTAATGATAGGGTTTGAATAAAGAAGTACAGAAATACGTTTGATAACAATTATAACTCTAATCGGACACACGAAATTTTTGTTGTTACAGAAGTATTGAATACAAATCCAATTACGTATACAATTAAAGACTTACTTAAGTGAAACTATTGAAGGAATTTTCTATAATGAAGAATTACAGAAAACCAAATTTTGAAAATTAAATATTTTAAACAAGATTGTCTTTTTTTTAAAAAAAATGAATTTGAAAAAAGAAATTAAAAGATAAAAGAAAAATTTTTTATAATAAAATGGATGAAAAAGTGAGTGCCAAAAAAAATGCACGTCGTGCAGCACAAACTTATGCTCAACGTCACCCAGGTATGATTTAGTAATTTTCTTTTATTTTTGTTTACATCATTTTCTAATTTATTATCGTTTCTTTTATTAGTTACATAAGATAAAGAACATCCTGCCCTTAGTTTAGGAATATTTTTTAATAGTACGGGTAAAGAGTACATAAGAAAATTTTGAAACTCGCGTCCATTTAACCTAGGTGGTAAAACATGAGGTCCCAACAAATAATTTCCAATAATACCGCATCAAATATTTATACTAAATTTGTATTGTAATCTTCCTATTCGTATAGCATGTGGATTTCCTTCAGCCCATAAATGAGAATTATGCTGGTTGAAAATACCATCTTTTGTGAAACCAGCCTCGTCGGTGAATAAGATGAAATCCAAAAAAATTTGGATTTTCCGTTCTTCGATTTATCATATCGGTTGCGAAATTTAGTCTGGCGATATTATCACATGACAGAAACTCCTGTACTCTCTATGATAGGGGTGTAAATTATCATTTAATATCCTTCACACACGCATTGTAAATAATCCTGTTCTTACTGAAATACGCCGACAGCTAGTTTCGGAATCTGCATGAACAATATTAAGAACTCTTTCCTCATTTCGGGTATCACGAACACGTCTTTCAACCCCTCCCCCCCATTAGGAATGACTGGTACAACTGACCCTAAATTAAACCATAAATTAATTTAAATTGCAATTAAATGTATTGAAGTACACGGAAGTCATATTGAACATTTATTTTAAATATTATTTCTTTATTATCTGATAATAATTAATTATAAAACAATTTAATAAAAACAACTGAATNTAAAAAATAATTTATTCCATTGAAATCACTGACAAATTTACTTGCAAATTCATGTGTCACACAAAAATTACGATTTTGGACATGATAAGCCAAAAATAGCGGTGATAATGATTATTTTTGAAAAAAATCGAGCCACCCCTTATTTCGTAAGAGAATTTTGCGATAAATTCTCTGGAATGGTTTATTTTTATTTTGTATGGCTATTTTACAAATAAAACGAGTAAAACCAAAGTTTTGATAAGAAAATAAAAATTTCAAAAACCAATTCTTATAGCTACATATAGAGTCACAATCCGTAGAGTTGGCCAGTCTTTTCTGATACACTCTGTATAAGGTTATTTCATTTATATCTGTAAGCAACGATAAACCATTGCTTGACGAAAGATTCTAAGTGCAGTTTGGTAATACATAATTTTAGCAATTTTCGTTGAAATTTGATTTAAAAAGGCTTATTAAAAAAAAAAGTTGTTCGATGATTTTGGAAGTTTTACCACGTCTAGGTAAGTCCAATATAAGTATTATTACCAAGTTTCAAATCCTTGTATTTATAACCGAATTACAGCAAAAATTAAAATTCCTTAAAAGCTTAAAAGTTTTTGGGATGATCGTTTGGGATATCGTTAGAAAGTAAATCAAAAAGGCAACAAAAAAGATAATTTTTGATTTTTCGATTAAATCATTTTTATAGTAGAAAACGTCGTCCGTTTTTTTATAAAATAATGAAATCATACGTTTTCTTACGTTTTTTTCCCACTTAAGTGCTATTATTTAGAAAATGTTGTTGAAAATTAAAATGACACCTTCATAGTACCACCTAGACAACTTGAGCTTTCAGAAAAATTGCTATACGTAAAAATTGGAGCAAGTTTACTAGGATAAAACGTGTCCACAAACTAGAACAGAGAATAAACAAAGACACTTTAGTAAAACTAATAGCTCCCTTGCTATGCTCAAAATCTAAAAGTATAAAGAACGGGGCAAGTTTAAGTTTACAAAACTAATGGTTTCATTATTTACATTTTTACTTTTTGTTGTAATTCAGTTAAAAATATTCGTAGAAGTTAAAAATGTTGACAGAAAACTTTTCTAGACATGATAAAGTGTTAAAAATATTTTGGCGATTTTTAAGGTATTAAGAGACATTTTATGTTTGCAAGTTTTTTTACGTAGTTTTGTTTTAGTAGGTACTATGTTGATTTAATTTTTTGACTAACAAGAAATGCATACAAATTTAAAATAAGAATTATTATAAATTGTATTTGGTAGCCAAAAAAGCAGATAGTATTATGTAGTATTTTTTTTTTGTAATTTTTGACAGAAATCTTAAAAATGTTGACTTTTCTAAACATATTTTATCACACATAGCTCAAAATAGATTTTCACTAGCAATGGTTTATTGTTGCTTACACATTTAAATTAGATAACTTTATATATTCTACCTGTTCAAATATTCCAACCAATAACAGTGGCGCACTCATCAGCAGTAACTGCCGCTCTTTTTTAAAATTTATTTTTATTTCAATATGTTCACCGTATTTATTTTGTTTTATTTTTTTGTTTATTTTACATTGATTGTAATATTTTTCCAATCGCATAAGCGTTGTTTTTTTGTCTACTGTCGGAAGTATAGATTCTGATTTTTTTTAAATTTTAGATCACACAATGTATGTTTATATTTTTTTGTTTATTAACGATAAAGTATTTAGTATAATTTTCAACTTTCCTTGAATTGAAGAAAACAAATCAAAACAAAACCATTTAGTTTGTTCGTACTTTTTGAAAAAGAAAAAACAACCACACCGGTTTTACACAAAATAACGTCGTATGAATATTATATATATATATATATATATATATATATGTATATTATAATGCTATATTTGAAATTCTGAGCAGGACGCGTAGAAATAACTTCGTTTTTATATTTTTATTCATATTGTAAAATTACACGACGCCTTGTTTACGTTTGGCGCCAACCCACGTAAAAAATTAAAGACATATTGTCGTAAAAAAAAAAAAAAACCGGTCTCGGTCAGCCGTTAATACACAATATTTATCATAATGTTCGTTTCCATAATAAATCTCATTATACTGTATAATAGTATCTACACTCTGCAGTCTTATCGTTCGTCCGTGTTGTTATTGCTATATTGTCGTCACTGTGTTATTTGTTTATTCAAAAAAGTTGAAATTCGCCGTACACAAACGCGTATTGTAAATATTATTACTATTTCATTGATACACGGTTGAATACTGATATTATAGTAACGATATTATCGTTGTACACGTACGTTTTACGTTTGGACGTCTTTCGTGATAAGTATAAATAATTTTATCGTTTGTCTGTTTCAAAGTCGAAAGTGTAGTCGCTATTGCTAAAAAGTTAAAACTGTTTATGTAAAAAACAAAAAATTGTACAAAATGTAGATATTAAATGAATAGTGTAAACGACTTTTCTATAAGCAATTTTGCTCCGATTTACAATTAAAGCAAGTTGTCTGAAAGGATATCTGACTGGGAAGGTACTATAAAGAGTTCATTTTTTGATCTTCCCAGGAGTTTTCTTAACAAAAATGAAAAACCGAAAAAAAAACTGAAAAAAATCGGTAAATTAAACAAATATTAGTAAAGAAAATATATAATGCCTATTTAGTTATTTTAACATAATATGACATATATATTGTTGACAAAGTATAATTTTCAACTGAACTCCGTTTAGAATCGGTTTTTCGTTAGTATAATGGTTTTATCGTTGCCTACAGGTATACCTTAAATTACCTATTACAGTGGCTATATCCGTCCTCATTATCCTAGAACAGTTTTTTTATTTTACTTTTATCTTCCTGCTCCAAGTTCTCCTTCCCAGTGTTTTCCTCTCAACTTCTTAAACTTTATCTATATATTTTTAACCCTATTCTATCTCGTATTTCCTCCCATTCGGTATCATTCCTAAAATTAACTTCTTATGTATATTTATTCCTGCTGCTTTGTGGTGTTCTGTCTATCCCCCTGTATTATTTTCAAATCGTACATTTTACGTCCTTTTAAAAAATTGTGTAATGGAACTCAAAATCGTTTCTCGTTAGCAAAGAATAATCGTTGCGTATAGATATACACTAAATTTCCCTCTATACCCTACCTTCCCAACTTCTCATCTACAGCAGTGGCCACCCCATCGTGCGAAATATGTCCGTCTTTTAGATTCTGAGTGGAACGAAGAAGCTTATGGTTTTATGAAGATGATTATTTTTTTTTTTATATATGCCTAACTTTTCTACCAGAAGACTTGCTCGGATTTCGAAGAAAATCGGTGTAGAAAGGTACTTTAATTTTTCGATTTTCTCGGAAGTTTTCTCATAAAATTTAAAAAACCGAAAAAAAAAAAAAAAGAAATGATACTGGGGATGGGAGCGGCCACTGATGTAGGTGAGAATTTGGGAAGTAGCTTACATAAGATTATTTCATTAATATCTGTAAGCAACGATAAACCATTGCTTGACGAAAGACGATTCCGAACGTAGTTCGGTAATACATTATTTGAAATGCCGCCAGTTTTTTTTTTTTTTTTTTTTTTTGCGATTTTCGTTTAAATTTAATTTCAAAATGCTTATTATAAAAAAAAAATTGTTTTTTCGTAACCCATGGTTTATCGTTTATACATTTAATTCCCGTCTATATCCTACCTTCCAAACTTCCCACCTGCACCAGTGCCTGTATCTGTCCCTATTTTCTTACCTTTTTTTTATGTCATATCTTATATGTGATACGGACTTTTCACCCAACAGCACTTTATTTGAAAACTTTCAAAATTCCTAACCTTATTGCTTTTCATGTTGGTTTTTTACATTTTTTTAATTAAGCAAATATTCAAACTTGTTGACTCTGTTGGCCTCAAGGTATGCAAAATTTCAACCCGTTGGTAGATACATCTATCGAAATTTTACTTCCGTGGATTTTGGTTTGTTCTATTAAAAATATAATAGAATTCTATTATTCTTTTTCGTTTTCTATGAAATATAATAAAGTTTTAATATTCCATAATTATAAATTTACCGTAGTCTAGATACTGTAGTAATTCGTATATTTGTATCATTGATTTTATAATAAATTATTTTAGATCCCGAGCGTAGCGAGGGAGCTATTGGTTTTACAATGCTGTTTATTTTTTATTTTCTTTGATTCTGAGTGTAGTGATTTAGCTATTGGTTTTACTAAGATGTTTATTTATTTTTTTTTTTTTCATTCTTTCTTCTAGTCTGTGGATACATTTTTTCCTAGTAAACTTGCTCTGATTTTTACCTGTAACTTTTATTCTGAAAGCTCAAGTTTTCTAGATGGTACTTTAAAAAGATAATTTTTTAATTTCCGTCGCCAAATTCTGACGACGGAAATTTAGTTTTCTAAATAATAGCACTTTAGTGGGAAAAACGTAGGATAACATACAATTTCATTACTTTATAAAAACACGGACAACGTTTTCTATCAGAAAATTAATTTGATCGAAAAATTAAAAGATACCTTTTTTGGTACCTTTTTGATTCATTTTCTTACGTTATCATCGCCAAAACTTTTGAACTATTTTTGAGCTGTTAAGGAATTTTAAATCTTAGGTGTTTTTTGCTGTAGTTCGATTATCAATACACGTAGAGACTTGGAACTTTATATTTATGGAACTTATATTAGACTTACCTAGACATGGTAAAATTTCCAAAATCATCGGACAATTTTTTTTTTTAAAAGCTTTTTAAAATCAAATTTAAACGAAAATTGCAAAAAAAAAATTTTAAAAATACGGCACTTAAAATTATGAATTATTGAATTGCGCTCGGAATCGTCTTTCGTCAATAAATGGTTTATCGTTGCTTACAGATATAAATGAAATGACTGCATGTATCCTACCTTCCCAATTTCTCACCTACAACACTGGCCGCTCCCATACCAAGTTTCAGCTCGTTTTTTTTTTTTTATTATAAAACAAATGGTTGTGTAATTGTTTGAATTTCATAAATTGTTGCTAATCCATCCCCGCGATATCCAATGGGTTTAAATAATTATTGATCAATGCGATGTTGGTAAACGTGTACTTAAGAATTTTTTGTTTACATATTGTTTTCTATATATAGCTTGCTGATGCGACGGGAACGGAAAGTGGTCCGGATGCGACCCTACAACATGTGCCCAAACTTTCAATCCAGGTCGCCAATGGATCACAGGCAACTGCAGATAGAATCAGGCAATGGTCATCCTAGGACCGATCCTAAGCTTTTGTTGCTCGTTGAAACTGCATACTCGAGACTTGGCAGAGAATTAGCCGAAACGCTTGTGCATAATAGATTAAGGTAATCATTATTATTAATTAAATATGGCAGAAATCAATGTGGAATACCCACATCATATATAGCATATATTAGTACTTATATATTTTCGATGATGTTCGACGGGTGATCGTCAAAATAAAAAAAATTAAAAAAATCCTGTGAGTAACAGAATTTCATTATTAGAGTCAATTTTCCTTCATCCATTAAAATATATATATATTTTATATATTATAGAAATATTCTTTGTGCAACAATAAACAACTTTTATACTATTTAGTTCCAGAAAATAGTGAAATTTAATCATAAAAAAGATGGTAGGGAAAGGAATGAAAGGCTCCCTGATCTCATTCGGAGAGTCTCTAATAAGGATGTTCAAAAATAAAAATCACCGTCCGCCTGCAACAACTCAGTTAAATTCATCTAGAAATTCAACCAGGTTTTTATCACATCAAAAAAAATACAATGAATCATTAACTATTGTAAATCTTGAATTCAATCAGTTTTTCAAAAGGTAGTTAGTTAAAAATTGCCCATTTAAAGAAATTAATTAATTGTTAAAATTAAAATTACCAATGTTATCGCGTAACGCGGTTATGTTATTCCCTATATAAGATAAGGAATTTAAAACGGCTGTTACCTTAGACACTATTCATAGATATAAATTTTTGATACAAATTTTCAGAAAAATAAACTCTACAGAATGACTATAGCTTAAAATTTTCCGAAAATAATAAATAAAAATTTAATTTTTTTAACTTAAATTAAAAAAAAAATGAATTCAAAAATAAATTTTTTTAGTCCTTATCCCTGTGAGTAATATATAAAAAAAAAAAAATCAGAATTTAATTATCTTTATTGTCTCTAGAGATATTCAAAGGGTATATCTTCGTGGGGCAGCCTGCATATGGATATATTTGGCTATTAAGTAGAAATTATGATGGAACTCTTGTTGTATTATCGAATATTAGAGCCAGGTTAAAACGATTGTATTCACATAACATTAAATAAAAACCAAATTCAGATTTCTACGATTATCTCTAATGACTAATCGAATTACAATAAAAAAAAAATCGAAAATACACGCCGAAACTGTGTCGCGTACATTTTCTCGTTATCCCTACATATTTTCTCAATTTAAAAGAAAACTTTAAAGGATATCAAAAGAATAATCTCCTCAATGCACTAACAAGACAAAATTTGGTATCAGAAATAATTGCTGATAAAAAAGTTGTTTACAGGAAGGAAAAAAAATACTTACAGATTTCTTCCTACGCTCAAATTCTAAAAATATTTAATTTAATAAAATTGATGAGCGTATACCAGATACTCCCCAAATTGAAAATTTAGATGGCTTATGAGTCGGCAATTCACTGATAATTTAACTTTAAATTCGGCAAAGTATAATGGTTTCTTAGTCTTTTTTTGGTAATTTATTACGCGATTGCCGTTAGTTATAATATAATCGTCAAATATATTGTAGATTATCAATGAACAAAATAATGAGCGAAAACATTTGTCGAAGGCGGTAAATTTAGTACATGGAGTTGGAACATTTTTAATCATACCTTTCTGTAGAGTTTTTAGAGTTAACACCGACTTCAGGAGGATAATAATATTATAAAATTATATACATTGAATCCGCAAAATGCAGTACGTGTGGTGCGGAAAATATCAAATCCGATAAAATAAGTATAGATACTTAATACAATCGAAAAAATATGTGATGTGGTAAAATTACCCATACGCAAAATTTGATAACCAAATAAGTTTGACTTTATCTGCGGTGCGATGTGACGACGAGTAATTAACTTACTGAAATTTTTTTTTTTTAATTATAGTTCTATACTCTATTTCAATGAAACGTAGAATATATAGTCGAACGTTTATGGTAGCATTCTAGTGAAATACGATTTAAATAGAGTTTCGTCTTCGCGTAATTGTGGGTAAAGACGATGAAATTCACACAAAGTGAATCGATCTTTATAAAAAGTATTACATTATTTTTTGTTTAATGTATACATTTCAACCATACGATTTCGGAAAGTAACAAATTTCGTTGTGTATCCGTTAATGGTAAATTCACAAATGTCAAACAAATATAAATTTATCCGCATACGACAAGATCGTGTCTAATTTTACTATATTAAAAATAACACGCAGCGGTTTGCGGTGCGGACGATAGACGTAACGCACGCACTGCGCATTCCCCGAATTCAATATTAGGACATATTGTAACCATCTGACATATTGTTTGTATTCAGAACTTGGAATCATTAGATTTTGTATATTATTTTTGGTGACAACTAAGACATTCCGAGTAAGAAACATTTATTTCATTGATGTCATATACGAAATTACGGTCAGGTTCCACAAATTGTTAAAAGTAACCGGTGACTATTTCCTCTCAAAATTGAAATCGATTATAAAATAATGAAATTCGTTTGGTTCACCGGTCACACTGGTTATAAATCGGATAGACGGTGACGATTGGTGACTTTTCATTATCCCCTCCAGAATTATTATTTCTCCTCGCTGAACCATCGACGCGGCGTCTAGGACATAATATCATTATTATCGTAGCCATTTAAGTTCTTGTTACTGTCGTATAATTGTCCATCGTACAAAATGGGTCTCTTCTTATTATTATTTTGCAACAATAGGAGGGGGTAAGTCATCTTTAAAGTATGTAATCTCTACTGCTGTCACCGCTTCGTCAATTACTTTGAATTGTAACCGTACAAAAATGGTTTACTGTCAATTTGTGGCCCGGTAACTCTCAACGAATTTGTGGTTTAGGTTAGGTTTTAGTACGGCTAAACGCAAAAATATAGATGTATTCGGTTGTTATCTTATCACAGAATTTCATTCATTTCCAATAAAGCCGTGTCAGTTGTATCACACTGGTTCTTTATCGGGTTTAATTTTGGGAAATTTTATTTTACATATTTTCCAATTTATAATAATATGTTTAATACTTACATTGTTTATTTTAAGCGTTTAGTTAAAGCGTTTAAAGTTAATTTTTTTTTAGTGATATATTATGTTAAATTCGTTTTTTGGTGACGGTTAGTACCCGCTGCTATATTATATTATACGTGCTATAATATATAGCATTTATAATATTATATCACGAACGATGGCAAAATCGGAAGGTTTGCGAGTGATGCGTATAGTCTGATTTCGGCGGCAAATTAATACTCGTGATGGGATAATATAATGAATAATGGTTTTTTCGGAATGGTTTTTATTTTTTTTTACGCACGCCGCCAGTATAATATAATAATAATATAATATTATACCGTCGAAAACCGCCGTAAATCAAGGAAACACCGCCACCGCCGCGCAGTTTGTGTCTGCTAATAATTTTCGAGACATCAATCAAAACGTCGCCGGTGCTTACCTTGCGAAACGATCCGAAATGATGACGGAAAGACGAGGAGAAGGACGAAGAGGAGAAGTAAGAGTATGAACGTGAAAAAGAGAAGGAGGAAAAAGAGAAAAAGTAGGAAAAGATACGTATCTTTAAACATGGTTATAACTTTGGATTCGGCGTTCAACTTTGTTGTGAAACTATCCTGGAAGTTTCCCCCGTGTTCAAGCCGTATTACATATAATGTGTGTAATATTATATTTTCTATACCTTCACGTGTTAAGAGCGTTTGGTCAGTCGAGACGACCAATAAAACTTTTTTTCTGTTCCGAATGAATTTCTATAATTTATTTCCCCCCCCCAGAGTCGAGTGTTTTACGGCATCACATCTGCAGTCCATTGTACGAATGGTATGTGGACTATTATTATCGTGAGTATATAATGACAAGCAGAAATTAATTCAGTTACTTTATTTTAATACCTATATTATTCGATTAATAACGACTATAATTTATTCGACTACCCCCATGATCTACTTAATTTTGACTAATTTGACTAGCGATAACGTCCAAACTTTGTTGAAATATTGACTAAATTATTTAATTACTCGTTTTAGTATAGATCATGAAAATGTAAAAAGCACCAATAATAGTAAGTTTTCTATTTATAAAAGATAGCTGAACTAAAAAAAACATTCCTGAATAGCAGAGCTATAGTCATTATAGAAATGAAATTTTCCCGATCTTTTTTTGTATAATAGATTCATATGCTTTAAAAAAAAAAAAAAATAACCGAATACCATTATGATAAATAAAATTATAATATTATACTTAATACTATAAGTTTATAAAACTTCAAAGAAAAATGGTGAAATGTGAGCATACAAATGGTAGACCTGGAGGTTGATAGTTGAAACTCTCAAAAGACACGCCCTTGATACTATAACTACGTGCATGTTCAAAATTTCATTACCTTAGTTTCATTTGAGAATCTGTAAGCAAGCCTCCACATCAAATTCTGGTAGTCTATACAAAGTGTTTGTCCTAACATTCCAATAATACAATTCACCATAAATTATTAAAAATTAAGATTCTTAAGCATTTTGGTAATAATATATTTTTTTTTCTTTTGAAATATTATCAAAATGATAAAAGAAAAAAAGGGAGCTAGGTCGCTAGGTATAAAAAACTAATAATTCTAATCAAAAATCGTTGCAATCCATTATAAGCGATACGGAAGATCCAAACACGATAATTTCTAGGTAATCAATGGCTTAAAATATCAAAATGATTAAATACGTATATATATGTTAGTTTATAATATTATTTAATATAAAAATAAGTATTCCTTAAATACTCCTTAAGTATGTATCCCTTCAAAATTTATAAATTAATTTCAACGGATGCACGGGCCTCTAAATCAGCCAGGCCTCTGTATTCCAGGTCCAACAACCCCCCTTACGGGGGCCCTGTTGGTGAGGATGATCAAAGCTAAAAAACATCTTTCTCCTTCAACAACAAGATTTTTTTACGAAAAGTTGTTCACAGAGATATTATATTCATCCCCTAAACATAAAAAAAAATTACGTTTTATTTATTCACTTTAGAAAATTTTTAAAACAGCCATTTTTTTAAAAATATTATTCTCAGCATTTTAATCTATCATACATTCTTTTTCGATAAATAGTTTCTTAATTTTAGTCGTTTTAATTTTGAAAACAATAGGCGTGAAAACAATTACTATTCAATAAAAGATAAAAAAATAACTGTGATTTTTGTAATTCCTTATCGCGTAATGTGTTATTGAAAAGGTCGCCAACCTTTTTAATTAAGTGAGCTACATTCGTAATTTCAAGTGGTGATCCATATCTAGAAAGTTGTTTGATGAGCAAAAAAAAGTCTAAAAAATAATCATTTATTGTTTCTTTATAATAATTATAATAATAATAATCTGATATTTTAATATTACTTACTAGAGAAAAAGTAAAAAGAGGTGATTCTGGGAATGGTAGCGGTCACTGTTGTATGTGAGAAGTAAGGAAGGCAGAATAGATAAGAGTTTTTCATTTATATCTGTAAGCAACAATGAACTCCGAATAAACGATTTCGAGCGCAGTTCGGTAATACATAATTGGAAGTGCCATAATTTTTTTTCCAATTTTAGTTTAAAGTTAATTTCAAAACGCTTATTAAAATAAAGTCGCCCAATGATTTTTGAAATTTTATCACGTCTAGGTAAGTCCAATATAATTATTATTACCAAGTTTCAAATCCCTACGTGTATTTATAACCAAATTACAACAAAAATTAAAATTCCTTAAAAGCTCCAAAATTGCTCAAAAGTTTTGGCAGTGAATAGTAAGAAAGTAAATCAAAAAGATAACAAAAAAGGTATTTTGTGATTTTTTGATTAAATCATTTTTTCTGATAGAAAACTCTGTCTGTGTTTTTATAAAATAATGAAATCGTAAAATTGTACGTTATCCTACGTTTTTTCCCCACTTAAGTGCTATTATTTAGGAAATGGCGACGGGAATTAAAAAATTACCTTTCTAAAGTACCATCTAGACAACTTGAGCTTTCAGAAAAAATGCTACAGGTAAAAATTGGAGCAAGTTTACTATGAAAAAACGTGTCCACAGACTAGAAGAAAGAAAGAAGACCAAAAAAATAAACATCTGAGTAAAACCAATAGCTACCTCGCTATGCTCGTAATCTAAAAAAAAATGCAATGCTGTTTCTTCATAATAGTATATACTAGAATAGATACTAGTTTTATTTTTTTACCTTTTGCTAATAATACAAATTTTGACTTACTGATTTCATTATTCAGTTAGCTCAGTAAGTAACTCATGTTTGATTAAAACAGAAGCTAAAACATTTCTGATAAAACTATTTAAAATACATTTTTGTTTCATAAGTGGCTAAAATTATTATGCCATCTTGATATTTACTTATGATTTCCATTGTTGTGTTTCCCTAGAAAATTGTTTTAACTTTATTGAGTTACTTATATTATTGTAAGTTGTAATCTACATATAACCTTTGTTTTTATCGTGCTAATAATAATATTTAAATATATTAACCTAATCCTAAAGTATATTTTTATGCTCAACAGGTATAAAATGGAAGTAACTGGAAAATCATTGCCAGCTCTGACAAACTTAGATAAAGGTCGGTATTCTGTCATCGTATTCGAAAACTACCATAGATACTTAAATATGGACAAATGGAACAGAGAGCTGCTGGACAAGTACTGCAGGGAATACGGGGTAGGAATATTGGGATTTTTCCCACCAGCTGAACGACACGCAGTCAACGTCCAGGTCAAAGGATTTCCATTGTACTTGCATACTAAACTATCTCTTAGGGTTGGTATATATTATGAATTTATTTTAATTTTGACAAATAACAAAAATGTCTTTTGTAGGTTAATTCTGTAGTAGTAAATATAAATACATATTTTTAATATTGCTAGTGACTGTCACAGTGCAAGAGAACCTTATTGTAGTGAAGTTATAGTTGTAATTTGTATAATTATTTTATAAGTATAATGTATTTTATACATTACTAGATGCTTTGTTACATTCAGTATTTAGAATAATACATAGGTACTATAGGTAATTTAAAAAAAAAAAACTGACTATTGTCAATTTATATAAATAAATAAATAAAATTTGGATACTTTTATATGTCAGTTCCAATGCTAATTAAAATCAATGAATATACCTATATAATATTACCTAAATATTATATTAGTTGTTAGCCATAGTTTTTTGGGAGAGGATACAAGGAAATTTAGTAAAGTATCCAACGTTTATAGTTTACATATTAACTTAATACGTTTCGGATAAGGAAGTTGTTTTATAAAATCTCTAGAGGTTCATTTTTATGCACATAAGACATTCTCTCATTTTCATAAGTGGTAGATGAAGATCAAATACCGGTTTCACCCAAATTCAATTATACTCTATTTTTTTTCACAAATTTTATTTTTGAATAGGTTAATTAGTGTAACTTACAGCAAATTGCAATACATTATTTTAAGAGGTCTATTATTATATCTCAATAGTGTAATCCATTATGAAATTATATTTCAGTGTTATTTATAACCACAATTTATTTAAATTAATACAATCATTATTAATTATAATATTTAAATAATTATTACTTAATGTTATTATTTATTTACAATAGTACGACACTAATTTAGACAACAATAATTGTGTTAATACCATAGAGTAGGATAAAAGCTCCTTTTCGATTGTTGGTTGATGCAAAGAATGATGAATATTTGCAGTGTAACTTATACAGTGGAACCTCGATAACTCGAATCGGTTGGGAGCGAAAAAAAAATTCGAGTTATCGAAAATTCGACTTATAGAGGTTCGAGTTATCGAGGTTCCACTGTACTTTATATTATATATCTATGGGTAATACATTAACAATTAATATATTATAAAAATTCTACCTAATTAGCTATTTAATTATATTAATATATTAAATCATTTTTGATACATTAAAATTACAATACAATGTAGGAACAAAAAAAAGTATACATTATTATTCAATTAAAATATTTAAGTTGCAACCCAAAATTCATACTATAAACATTAATTAAAAATCCATCCATTGTTAAACTACATTTATATCAGTGACATTTAAAAAGTGTAAAACTTGTTTTGTGAGTTCAACCTTTTTCATGTTAGTTAAGTTAAAGGCTAAAAAATAACCAATTGGAAGTTCTCAGTTTTCATTTATAAAAATCACAAACACTAAGTATTATTTTGCTAAATCTAATGAATCAGTAAAATTATTATAAAACTAATACTACCGCTATATTTTGACAATTTTTCATGTTAATTTATGTGACAATGGCAACGGAATGTCGAAAATTTAAAATACATGTACAATTTTTTTTTTTTGAGGTGAATCTGTAAAAGTTTGTCATTTATCGCAAACAGCGTACAGTTATCTCAATAATGATAAGGGCTATACCATGACATAGTACCAACCTTGAAAATAAAAATCCCTAATGAAATAGTATAAATGATAAGGAATTGCCAATATATTTAAACAATTTTCAATATAAACTATTTTATAGGAATCCCATATAGGCAATTTTCAGTGTTTTGTGTTTGTGAGAGAAGTAAATATTAATTATAGGTCTATGAGATCGATCAATAATCAAGTGACTTTTTTTAAATTTTAGATTCTGAGCATAGCGAGTAATGTATTAGTTTTGCAATGGTTTATTTTTATTTTATTTATTTTATGTACAGCTTTTCTATCAGGAATCTTGCTCTAATGTATGAAGTTCAAGTGCAAAAAAAAAAATCAATATTCAAATCTATTTTCAGAATTTATTGATATCAATTCACTTGCGATTACAGGAGAATAGGTAGTTTTGTTCATAAACTAAGTTAATAACGTCTTTATAGTAGTAATAATAATAATAATTATAATAAACAATTTAACAGTTGTTTAATGTTTTGTTGAAAAAGTTATTTATAATACCATGTAAAGCATCCTATTAAAGATTTTTCTTTTATATTTTTATAATATTAAGTACCCTATGGAATATGGAAAACTACTCAAATTACTCAATTATAAATAATATTATTCATTTAATAATAGACTATTTTCAGATACCTTTACTTCGTTTCACGAGAGAAGGTACATGTTTTTTTGACCGTCGCTACGCAACTCCCACCACATTTACCCGTGGTTTTATATGATTTTACGCGCTGCCTAAAGGTAAGGAATGCGAGAAATTCGACTTTCGTGTTCCCGCCGATGCGCCGGGCTTGTACGTTCTCTCGTGAAACTCGAAATCTGTAAATAAAAATTAATCATTGCTAACGAAAAACGATTCTGAGCGGAGGTCAGTTATTATCATTGCTTTTTAAACAATATATACATGTTATATTAAAATAAAATAAATACTATATTAAAATAATTTGTATGAACCAGTAACTAGATATTGTGTTTCACACTATTTTTTACCAAAACAATATTCGTCAAAATGTGATATTAAAATTCTTATGAAAAAAATATACTATATAAAATTAAAATTGTTTTTGTTTTGACCACAAAGTACGGCTTATAATTAACCTTCTGTTCAATTTTCAAGCATTTCTGTTTTTATCTAATAGTTTTATCAACAGAATACCCACCAAATAAAAAAATGTAAGTGTTTTTACAGTTTTACTACGTAAACATAGGAAAAATATAAGTTTTCTGCCAAAATTTTAAGTCTACGATTATTTTGAAATAAATTACAACAAATAACATAATTGAAAATAATAATAAACATTATTTTATTAAATTTCTCGTTTTTCTTATGTTTTCTCCTGGATTTTTTAGGAACTGAAATTGAAATTGAATTGAAAACCGCTTGGAAAATCAAAAAATTGTCATTTTAAATACGAATTAGACGATTTTTACTTTTAAAAATGACGCCACTCGTACATATTGAGGCGAAATTTCTAGTAGACATTTTTTTCATAGTATGTAAAAAAAATAAAATAAACATTTTTGTAAAACCAATACATTTTTCGGTACATTCAGAATCTAAAACATTATGTCAAATAATATATTGGTTATATCTATTATATCTACTTCTAGACCAATAACTTTGCTAAATGCTAATGTAAGTCTACTTCTTTCGGGAGGGGGGATCGCCCTGGGACTCTCCTGTCTCCAAGTCGTGTTCTTCACATAAATTCTGCAAAGTACGATTCCACAACATTTCTTTTGGTTCCACGGCACTTTTTATTTCCCCATTTAGCAGAACTCCACAACCTCTTAATGTTTTGGGTGTGTGGCTCTGACTGCACTCTGACCTCAACTAAATTATAAGTGTGGTGCAGTTTTTCGTATTGTTTGGCGGGGTGATACATTTATAACCTTTTAATTTATAATCTTGAAATAAATAAACAAATAAATAAATAGTTTTAATAATAATAATGGAAACAACTCGGTTATTAATTATAGGATGCCATGCTGAACTCGGCGTCACCTGTGTTGAGGGTAACTAGGGCCGGCGGCGTGTATCGAGGATCCCTATCTGGCGATGACTGGTCAGTGTTTGACGCCAATCACTCCACGTTCGAACCGGTTGCCTGGGCTGGTAACAAGACGTCAGGCATCTCAGACGGGTACCTCTCACTAGCTACGGTTGTCCAAGACCGTGGTATTTTCGATGGCATATCCAGGGTAATGTTCGGATCTGGGCTAAAATTTTGGTTGCACCGGTTGCTTTTCCTCGACTCACTATCATACTTAAGCAAGGGGTTGTTGAGCATATCGCTGGAACGTCAAGTGCTCGTAGACATTGATGACATATTCGTCGGTGAAAGCGGCATTCGGATGTGGAAAGAAGATGTGCATGTGAGTTTCTATTAGTTTTAAATTATTTGATTGATTATATGGTAGCGTGGTCCGACCTTCGGCACTCCGGACATTTTTTTTTTGCTCCCAGATTATTAACGTATTAAGCTAATTATAGTTAAATATATTATCTTTTAATTTTACTCGTATATTGGTATTGTTATTAGGACTTGGTCAAAACTCAAGACCGCATAAGCAAGCTGGTACCAGGGTTCAAATTCAACTTGGGCTTTTCTGGCAAATACTTCCATCGGGGCACGTGGGAGGAGAACGAAGGGGATGACACGATATTAGGTAAATGCCAATATTGTATTATTGCTATTGATTTTGGTCGAATTATACTCAACACTACTACATTGTAATTTGCAGAAAACGTGGACAAATTCAACTGGTTCTGTCACATGTGGAACCACATGCAACCTCACTTGTACAATAATGAGACTCACTTGGAGTCTGAAATGATGTTGAATAAGGCGTTCGCTGAGGTAAGTTTAAGATATTTTGTTATTTCGTGTTTGTGTGATTAATAGCATTACCTGTATGGTTTTTGTTGTAAACACCAGGCTCACGGAATACCAACTAACTCCAGTTATTCAGTTGCACCTCATCATTCTGGTGTGTACCCTGTACATGAACTGCTGTACACTGTGTGGAAAAAGATGTGGAACATCAAAGTTACCTCAACTGAAGAATACCCGCACCTGAGGCCCGCTCGATTAAGGAGAGGTTTTGTCTACCGAGGCATCAAAGTACCAAATACATTCCTCTTGCAATCTTCTATAATATATAATTATGCACAATATAATATATATATATACCAGGTGATCCATTTAATTGGGTACACTAATTATCTCGGAAAGTATGAACTTTTTCCGAAATTTGTTTTTTAGAACACTTATGAAACAAGCATCTTAATAATACAATTTTATATTATATTGTTTTTTTTCACACTTATTTTTGAGGGTAAAACTACTACCTAAAAATGTTTGTGTTATATATTTTTGTTTTTTTTTTTGAAATATTTATATGATAAAATGGTTTAACTTAAATTTCGAATCACCCTGTGTATATATATATAAACGGACTGACAAAATATTACAATTAATTCCATTTTGTGTATGTTTAGGTATTACCAAGACAAACATGTGGTTTGTTCACGCACACCATATATGTGGACCGTTACCCAGGTGGGCGGAAAAAATTAGATGAGTCCATTATGGGGGGGGAACTGTTTCAAACAATTGTATATAATCCTGTAAGTGTATAATCTATATTTAAATTAAGTTTAAAATATACATGAAGTTATTTAGCTACAATGCTACATTGTAAAATAAAAAAATTAATTTATATAAATATGTAATATATATTATTATATTATTTATATTTATTATTTAAGCAGTAATTTAATATTTTCTATGTACAGAAAATAATAACATAAAACCAACATATTAAAGTATACTGAATTAACTTTGTTTTTTCAGATAAATGTGTTTATGAGTCATATGTCCAATTATGGTAGTGACCGATTAGCATTGTATACTTTCGAGTCTGTCTTTCAGTTTATCAGATGCTGGACGAATTTAAAACTAGTATCTTCGGGTCCTCTGCAGTTGGCAGACAACTACTTTAAGTTGTATCCAGAAGAAATCGATCCAATGTGGGGTGTAAGTTTATAATATATTATAGCAAACAATAATCATAGACATTTTACATTTATTGTTAAATGATTAGTTTAAATCTAACAATTGAACCATTCATAATATGGTTTGTTTGTTTAAAAAAAAAAAAAAAAAAACCAGTCGAAGATCTTAGAAAATATGATCAAACAATTTTTGTTGTTGTCCACTCGCCTGTCCAATCATAAACCACAATATGTACATACTCGTATAAATTTTCATGTTTTGATATTATTTTGATCGACATTGAACTGTGTAGATTTTTTGATTTCACACATATTCAAATATCAAATATTTAAATTCTCTTTGGAACTAAGCTTTGAAATTTTAATAATCCATAAGCGACCTGTATTAGACAAATTACTAAAATGGCTCCACTGTAAAATTTGTGAATTGTGATTTATTGTGTTTTATGCTTGGACAACTACATTGTTCTACTTATTTAGTCAAAAACATTTATAATTTTTATCACATTTTAAAAAGCACTGCTGATTAGACTTTTTTTTTTTAAGATTTATTATCGTTATTTTATTATTATATTATTATTTATTACGTTTCTAAAGTACTCCCCAGTTAGATTTTCTTTCAGAAAAAGTGCTACTCTTGTAAATCTGGGTAAAATTGTTAATAAAAAAGTTGTTCACAGAAAAAAAAATAAACATTGTAAAACCAATATATTCCTATACTAAGAATTTTAACATTATGTAGAGCGAAATATTTCCTTTCTGTCTTGACTTCAAGACGCCAGTCATTGGTGTTAGTAATAGTCAATCCTAGGTTGTTATTTTAGTACTATAATTAGGATTCGATTATGTTGATAAATTAATATTAGGGTAAAAATAAATAATATTTTAATCTGGAAAGACCAGTTATGATACATTTTACACTTAAAAGTTGGCATATCTAAATTTACGTGTGAAAAATATATACCACACTGTCTTAACCAACAATTTGCACTATGGTACTATTTTTAAAAAGAACACTGGTGATCATTTCTTTTGAAAAAGTTTACACTTTTTATTAAATAAAACAAATCATTATATAAATATATTATTGATGTTTGTTTTTAGAACCCTTGTTTGGATCAACGACATCTTAAGATTTGGTCATTTAAGAAATCATGCCAACGTCTACCAAAGGTTCTAGTTATTGGACCACAGAAAACTGGCACTACTGCATTGTATACATTTTTGTCTATGCACCCAAACATATCAGCAAATGCTCCAAGCAAAGAAACTTTTGAAGAAATCCAATTTTTTAATGGCCGCAATTACTATAAAGGATTGGATTGGTTAGTAATACTAAATAAGTTAAAACAATTTTTAATGTTCTAATACTGTTTTAGGTATATGGAATTTTTCCCTTCAACAAACGACTCAATTGACAATAAAATTGTATTTGAAAAGTCTGCCACTTATTTTGATGCAGACATTGTTCCCAAAAGGGTACAAGCCTTATTGCCCAATGTTAAACTTGTTAGTACAATAAATTATCATTTTACTATTTTATGTATAAATGTAACCAAGATATGATCTTTTATTTTTATTTTTACAGGTAACCATATTAATATCACCGGCTAAAAGAGCATATAGTTGGTATCAACATGCCAAAGCCCATGGAGATCCAACTACGCTTAAGTATTCGTTTTATCAAGTGATAACAGCTAATGAATCTGTTGCACCGAAACCACTGAGAGACCTCCGTAACAGGTTAATATTTATTTACATTTCAGGTTTATATTAGTGTACACTAGTTAAATTATAATTTTATTATAATAGATAAATATTATCAAATACAAGGTACACCAGAAAGTAAGTTCAGTTTGACAATAACAACAAGTAAAATAAATATTAAACAAAAAAAAAGATTGGAACATAAAATTAAAATATTTTCCTATTATTCAACATAAATGGCATTTTTATTTGAGCACTTATCATAACAGGACACTAATTTTTATACTCCTATATCCTTAAATGATAGATACCACCTATGATTGCAACTTTATGTTAACCTTTATGGTTTCTGTTATCTCATCATTCTCAGTAAAGACAATTCAAGGAAAATCTATTGATTGTTACATCATGACGATTCTCTTGTCTTCTATAAGTTTTTGTTTAACTTTTCACTCCGAATCATAGTCAACCAAAGATGACCGCCCAGTTCATTCTTAATCATGAACATTTGTATGGCCTTTTAACCATTGAATCATAGGAGAAAATGTTATGAGTACATTGCATTTTTCTCCCTAACTTTACAAAATCAACTATTATATCTGCTTTATTAGTACCTATTCCTTTCCTCGCATTTAAAAACCAGATCAGATATCGTAACTCACATATAAATGAATTTTCAATTTGTTCATCCATTTTAAACACTTACTAACAATTGGTCTTAAAATATTTTTATAATGTTCCTAACAAATTAACTAAATAATTACTAATAACTAGGGCTTTTAATTTGTAGGAAAGTGAATTTTTTTAGTTGATTGTGAACGTAACTTTCTAAGTACATGATTTGAATTATATAACCACAAATTCACTTATGAAACTTTTATTTTGTATTTTTTGACGTTTTTAATTTTTAAGTTCTAAACGAGCTGCTCTACAATTTTATATTTATGTTATTTTTTGTCACCCTTACTTTTAGTGGTCAAACCATTAGGTTGACGGAGAGTAGTGGAGGATCATTTTTTGTAGCAGCAGGGCACGTAGCGTGTTAATATTGCACCACCACTCTCCCCCGCCCAAACTTAAAAGTGAAATATCTCGTCAACTGATTGACAGAAATAAAAATTTCAACACCAACATTTATTTTAACTAATACTTCATTTTGAGCTTACTTTGTATGAAATCAGTTTTATTTTAAATTAGCTTAAAAAATAGCCATAACTAGAAATATAATCAAAAAAATACAAAAGCCTTAAAATATGCACGAAAACTTATTGGAGTTGAATTCCTTTTAGTAGGAAATAGATTTTCAGCTAACTCTGCTATCTTTCAATGTGTTAAAAACAAATATGTAAATGCTAGAAATCTCAAGCCCTGGTTATGAATCATAAATAGTTTATCAAGTAAATTTTTTTTTTATATTAATTTCAGATGTTTAAATCCTGGAAAATATGCTCTACATTTAGAACGGTGGCTGGACTATTTTCACCATAATAATTTGCATATCATTGATGGTGATCAGCTCAAATCTAACCCTGTAGATGTTTTGGATCAGTTTCAAAAATTCTTAAAGATTACACCTATGTTTGATTATTCTTCTCATATAAGGTTTAGATTTCTCTTTCATAATAAATTATTATTAATGTATTGAATATAATACTATTAATTATACTTATTTGTTAATTTTATTTCAGATATGATGTGAAGAAAGGTTTCTTCTGTAAGGTATTAGAAGGAGGTGCTAATAAATGTCTAGGTAAAGGAAAAGGTCGGCAGTATGCCACAATGGATGCAGAATCATACAAATATCTCAGAGAATATTACATGCCATACAACACTGCACTGGTTAAACTCTTACGTAAATTAGAGCACACGACAATACCTCAGTGGCTTAAAGAAGATCTTAGTTATTCATCCACCTGACATTTGCTTCGTATGTTTCTACTTAATTTTGGCATCACTTTAATATCTTAAGTTTTTGCAATTTCATTATTTAAAAAACTATATATTTACACTTAATTATTTATTATTAACATCAAGCAGTAGTTTGATAAGTAAATAACATTGATTCATTTTATTTTCAGAAATAGACTTAGATGTATACAAATTTAACTGAAATTATAATTTGGGATAGTAAACATTATTTTTCTTATAACCTGAGTATACTAAAATATTTATTTTATTTAATTATTGACAATATCCATTTTACTGAAAACATATTTCATATGATGTACGAGAGAGATATAGTATAAGATTAATAGAATAATTTTTACAAAATTAATTTATCATATAAAGTCATAAGTTATGAGTGAAATAAAGAGGTTCAAAAAATACATAAAAGTAATGGTAGTAATGTATTTGGAGCAGGTAAAAAAAAAAACTCATACTACTCAAAATCTAAATAAAATTTTGAGGCTTGAATATTAATAATGTAGTTTGAATAGTGTTCCATAAACCTACTGCCTAGCTAAAAAGTAGAATATCTTATCAACGGTTCAATGGAAATCATAAATGTCAACACCAAAATAAATTTAAGCTTATACTAATACTCTAATAATCTATTTATGGAATTTTGAATACAGGTTCTCTTTTGAATTTTTACATGATATAATAGCAGTAACATATATTTTAAATTGACCTATAAATTATATTTTGTATGACAAGTTAGAGCAACATAATGTATAAACATCAAAAGTTACAGAATTTAAAATTAGAAAATTGAAATACTAAATACTATACTGAATATATTATAATGAATGTTAGAATGTAACCTGTTAAATTTGAAGTTCAAATTCAGCAGTAAAATAATTTTACCAAAATATTCAAAAAGTTATTAAAATAAATTATATTAGACTATTTCATTTCTTAAGTGTTAGCTAATTAGTTTTTCTATAAATAATAATTGTTTTTCTTTTTTACAGGTGGTAGGAAAAAAAAATACCAGCGACTGTTAGCTGGCATATATTCTACCACGAGAAAATAAAAAGCTGAATTTTCCATATGACACAAAATTATAATATTTCGAAAAAAAAACATAAACATATGATGCCATATTATATTAGGTTATTTTAATTTAATTAATTAAAATTTTTTTTTCATATAATATTTGTTGATTTATGAAAATATGAGTATAACTAATTGTTTTTTTTTTTTTTTTAATATGTGTATAAATAATAAAATAAAACATTTGTTTTTTTCTTATGTACAAAATATATTTATAAATTTTGTACAGTTTAATATATTCATACAGAAATGTATTTTAGACCGTCCAAGTGTTTTTGACTTTTTGCCCCAGTATTTCCATAAAATAAACTTTCTTATTAATTTTCTTTATTTAACTGTCTAAAATTACAATTATTTTCATTTATTTTTAACAGAATATTATTTACTTTTTATTTTAATGTATCCTCATTGTTACTGGCTAAACTGAATAGTAAAAACAATATTTTATAAATTATTACTTAAATAATAGATAATTATTTACTAAAAAGGATAATCTTAAGAACAAATTTCAGATGAGGGGGAGGGTTTGTCAAATACATATTATCACGTTTGATTTTTATACTGCTATAAATCAATTTATTATTTAATAACGTAATACAAATTAGAGAGTAATAATTATTTTAGAAGAGAATTATCATCTCAAACACTAGTGTCAATTACAACGGATTTATCTGAAAATTAATTAAACTTCTACATAACGAACACCTTCAAATAATACACTTTTTTTTGGGAAAGGGGACATTTTCACCATTTATGTATAGGAAAACCTCTAAATACAGTACTCTAAAAACAGACATTTTTTTTAACATTGATATTGTTCATTTTTATCATTAATTAAGAATTATTGTAGAATACCTAAATAAAAGTCTACAATATTAAGTTATCTTTATTACTATGTATGTACATTATTATATTGTATATAACGTATATCTTATATTATCCGTCCAGTTGTTGACATACTATCGTGTCAATGAAATGTTGTAATCTTAAGATGTATTTAATTAATATATATATATATTTAATTAATTCATTTAATTATTAGTATTAGTAGTTATTAGTAGTACCTAAAAAAGATGATGCATCTGGAGTAAAAAAATATAGGGTATGCGTAGACTTAAGAAAATTAAACAAAGTAAAAGTAGGGAATGTGTTTCCATTACCTCAGATAACAGAAATTTTAGATGAACTAGGAAAATGTAAGTATTTTACAACAATTGATCTTGCATCAGGCTATCATCAAATCGAATTAGATGAAAAGGACACAGAAAAAACAGGAATTTCGACAGGGATAATTCATTATAAGTTTTTGAGATTACCATTTGGATTAAAAGGGGGACCAAGTACTTTTTAGAGGTTGATAAATAATGTACTGACGGGATTGTAAGAGGTAGATGCTTTTGTTTATTTGGATGATATAATAATATTTGCACCTGATTTTAAAGTGCATAATGAAAGGTTAGAAAAGGTCATATGTAGACTTCGTAAGCATAATCTAAGGGTTCAGCCAGCTAAATGTGAATTTTTAAGAAAAGAAGTAACGTATTTAGAACACGTCATAACAGGAAATGGAGTTCGTCCTGACGAGAGGAAAAAAGAAAGCGTAGTAAACTTTCCAATACCAAAAAATCAGAGGGAGTTAAAAGAGTTTTTGGGTTTATCAGGATTTTACAGAAAATTTATTCCAAATTACAGTCAGATAGCAAAATCATTGACTTCCTTATTAAAAAAGGATGTACTATTTTTATGGGACGACATGTGTCAAAAAGCATTAAGTACATTGAAAATAATACTGACGATCGAACCAATACTACAATATCCAAATGTTGAGAAATGTTTATTTTAACTTGTGATGCATCAGGCCAAGCCATTGGTTCGGTACTGTCACAAATAAGTGTTAGAAGGGATCGTCCTATTGCTTATGCGTCGTGGGTATTAAATGCCTCAGAACAATGGTATAGTACTACAGAAAGGGAGTGTTTAGCAATAGGGTGGAGCGTGAAACATGTTCATCTTTATTTATGGCGTAAGAAATTTAAAATATTAACCGACCATAAACCACTTACGTGGTTATTTAATGTCAAAGACCCAGGGTCACGGTTAATTCGTTGGAGATTAAAATTGGAAATATATGAATACGAAATAGTGTATAAAAAATGAACAGAAAACCAAAATGCCGATGCCTTAAGTAGAATAATGGTAGCAAATAGTGATATGGAAATAACTTATGAAAATTTTAATTGAAAGTTAGTTACTAAAAAAATCGCGAACAAAAATGTAGAAGAGGTACAGGGGACACTATTGGAAGCAAATGAAGATTATCACGTGGGTTTACCGGTGACAAAGGACTTTTCTATTAGAGGGAAATTAGCAATGTAATTGTTATTTTGGCAAAGGTTTTGATATTCACAAAGAAAAAGAGAAAATACACGAAATAGGTCAAGTTATAAAAATAAGTAGTGAACCAGACAGAGAAATATTTTTATTTATTATTTTAGAAAAATATCCAGTGGTACCGTCTTATGAACAATTATTTGAAATATTGTTAAAAGTAAAAACATTTTTTATTGAACACGGTATAGAGAAATTAGCGATTTCTTGGATAGATTACGAGACATGTAATTTAAATTTCGAAATAGTAACGTTTATGATAAAAATGATTTTTCAAGATGTATTTATAAAAATACAATTTTTTTTTAGATAATACAAATTATAACCAAACATTTCCGGAGGGGAAATTACAGGTTATTCAAGAATTTCATGAGAATAAATTGGCTAGACATCTAGGAGTTACCCGTACAGTAAAACGGATAAAATTAAATTTTAACTGGAAAGGATTAAAAAAGGACGTAAATAAATATATAAGGTGTTGCGAAAAATGTCAAAAGAGTAAGAAGAGTAATTGGAGTATAAAACAACCTTTAACAATTACATAAACAGCAATCAGGTCATTTGAGAAATTATTTATGGACATAATGGGATCATTACTAAAGACTGAAAGTGGGAAAGAATATCTTATGACAGTGCAAGATGACCTAACAAATTTTAGTTTGGCGGTGCCTTTATAGGCAACCGACGCAAATACGGTAGCTAAAAACTTTGTAGAACATATTATATATATATATCTATGGGACACTAAATGCCATATTAACAGACCAAGGGCAAAATTTTATAAGCAAAGTATTCACGAATACGTGTAAACTATTGCAAATAAAAAAATTAAACATCAATGCTTATCACCCGGAAAGCAATGGGGCATTGAAAAAGTCACATAAAACGCTAAGGAATATTTAAGAAATTTTGTAAACAATAAATTAAATAATTAGGACACATTAATACCGTACGCGATGTATACATATAATACATCCGTGCATACAAGCACAAACTATACGCCGTTTGAATTAATTTTCGGGTACGCGCCGAAAATCCCGAGTTCTTTTTTAAAGCCAATTGAACCACAATATAATTACGACGACTATTCGTTTATGATAAAGAGACGTATGCAGGAGTGTCATGAGGTGACACGTAAAGCGATAATACTAAACAAAAGTATAAGTAAGAAGGAATATGAAAGGACAGCTAATTCAATATGTAAAGAATCATGTAAAAAAGTGTTATTAAAAAATAATAAAGTACAAAATAAATTAGCACCCAAATGGGACGGGCCATATGAGGTAATTCAGTGGCATAACAATGAGAATGTAATGATACAGAAAAACAATAAGGCAATACGTGTTCACATTAATAATGTGAAAGCGTTTAATGAATAAATAATGAATTAGAATTGTTATTTTTTGTTTTATTTATTTTTTTTTTTAGGATAGTATGGCCAACTGCATTAATATTGGGTATGGTGCTGGCGGATAACATATACAATGTGACCCAGGTACCATTCAATTCAGGGTTATATTATGAGAATCATGGGCCATTAAAATTAACAAATATAAATTGGAATGTAATAACATACATAAATTTAACCAAATATGATTCTAGAATAGATACACTAAAACAATATTTTTCCGAAATTAGCATAATGTGTATTAACATTACACGGGTAGAAAGAAATATTAAATGTAATGATATGAATACTACGGTAATTTCATTACTAGGGGAAATAGAAAAAAGGAAAAATCAGTATTTTTTAATTTTGGGAAGCACACCTACATTGCGAAAAAGGAGGGGTTTATTTAATTTAGTTGGGGATATGTATAAGCAATTATATGGTACCTTAACTGAAGAAGATGCAGACAAATGTTTGTCTCAAATTTCATAATTACATGCAGGGAACGAAAAAGTATGAAGTATAGTGAAAGAACAAATATTTGCAGTAAAATCAAATATTAAAATATATTACAATACGTTTTTTAATATAAATAAAATAAAATACTACTGAATGAAAATTTTAAGAAAATAGGGAATCAATTAAAAAATATGAATAGCTTGATAATAGATATAGAATTAGGACAATTGATAGAATAAATAATACTATTTAATTTAATGTTAAGTCAAGTGTTATTTGAAGTAGATTTATTGGGGGAAATTATAACAGCAACACAAGGGGGTGTCATTCATTCTAGTGTACTGACTCCAAAAGACATTTTAGAGTAGTTATAGAAAATTGAAGGAGATTTACCAAAACATCGAGCACTACCAGTTCCATTAGACATAATAGGGGCTCATAGGCTTTTGAGCATAGCAGATGTAGTATTCATGTTTAAAAATAAAACTTTGATATTTTTATTAAAATACTATTAATTGATGATTTTGAATTTACTTTGTATAATTTAATTCCGTTATCAGTAAAAGAGAATAGCAATCCATTACATATCCAAAAATGGATTACTTAGCTGTGAGTAAAGATTATTAGAGCTATATTTCATATAGGGCACAGGAATTAGATAAATGCAAACAAACACCTGATTATAAATTATGTATAGGGAAGCAAGTAATATATAATAGACATGAAAAAGCGATATGTGAAATTAAATTAATATTAGGAACAACAGAAATGCCGAAAATTTGTTATATGAGGTATATTATATTACTAGAAAATATATTTTACAAATTAAAATCTACAAATACGTGGGTATACTCAGTTATACAAGAGCACATTGTGTTAGATTGCGAGAAGGAAAAAACGAGTGTTAAGTTCAATTTGACGGGGACAGGTTTGATATCAATAATGGATGATTGTCGAGCATTTACATCACACTCAGTACTCATACCAATTAAGAATTTATCAAGCAGTAGAACTGTAGACATAATACCAGGGGCAAAAATATCAAACACAGTAATATATATTAAAAACCGTACTAAAATTAAAAAATCTTGAATTAGAGAATTTATCACAAAACAAATACAAAAATTTATTAGATATAACACAATCGTTGGATGAAGTAAATAATTTAATAGATGTAGAAATTAGATATAAGGAAGTAGAAATGATAAAAACACTATATTATTATTTATATTATATAATTTTGGTGGTGGCAATAAATTGTTTATTTTTATTGTATAAATATTGTAAAAATAATAATAATATACGTGCAATCGAGAAATGGGAAATGGTACCATTAAACACTAGAATTTAATGATAAAATTGTAAGGGCGAAAAATCATTCGTATAGGAAGCACAATCCTTCGTATGGTAGGGGAGGTGTTAGGACCATCCGGTCTAATATAATAAATGTGTTAGGACCATCCGGTCTAATACAATAGACGTAATAAAACGTAGTCATTAAAATTCAATTGATATTGTATCCAGAAGACCTCGATTGTATTTTGTTATATTATCATTTTCTGTTGTAAGTAATTGATTAATATTATATAGCGTAATAAGAAAAAGTAGCACAGATATGTACTTAGAGTACTAACTGCCTAAATTAAAGGTTCTTGAGTTATATAAAGATAACGCGAGGGACATTAGTCAACTAGTCTTAACCGAGTGTGAGACAAGTACCTATGTATGTGTCATATCTGTGTAAATAATAAACTGAGTTTAGAACAATTGTTGTTTATTTTCATAAGTTTAAAATCCAAATCCTTATAAACTTTGAGTCTACTTGGCTTATAACACCACTGTGGATCAGTTTGTTGTCACCAATCACCAGCATATGTGTAAGCACTTTATTTTTTCTAAGTTCAGATTTATTTATGAACAATGCTTTTGATAGCGTTTTACTTTTCTATATAAATATTTATAACATTTTTTATTTTTGTTGTTTGGGTGTACAAAATTATAAAAATAAATAAAAGATTAAATATACATATAATTTTATAATTTCAAAAAATAATTGTAATTGAAATTACAATATATATATATTTATATAAATAAATGACAATTAAAAAGCATACAGGTAAGCATAAAATCCAAATTATACTTCAACTTTTAAAATTCATAAAATAATTATTACAGAAATTACAATTTGCATATGGATAAAGAATAATAAAATAACAATTGGTAATTTACAATATGAGAATATATGGGGAAACATATAAAATAAATTCAAATTTCAACTTTTAAAATTCATAAAACAATCATACATTACATTTAAAATTAAATTAAATGTTTAAATGTATATTCATACACTTGCATTATTGCTGGTATTTATAAAAACAAAACAAAATAATATATATTAGTACATTATATACATACAAATAATAAATATTTTATAAAACTTACTCATACTAATAAATTTGTGTTCGCATTTTAATGTTAAAATATTATATTATTAATTATATGTAAAACGCACAAAAAAAAAAAATAAATATTAGAGTCTGAGAGTTGATTAAATCATAGATGATAATACTTTGATAATAATAATATCGTATGTGTAAATACAACTATTGTGATAGTGGAGAGGGCTATGTGTTAAATGAGCCGACCATGAAACGATTTCAAATAATGCTAATCAGCATTGTACAACAGATCGAAGGTCTTAATTATTGATTATAATTTAATCACGAACTGTACAACTGGCCCTAAATGTGCCCCTATATTCCATATAAAACATAAAAATCTACACTAGTGCAGTCGGTGCAGTTAGGTGGAAAATGCTCTAAGTAGACCTCTTTCGCTTCAATCCAAAATCGAAAGGCTCCTCTATAATCTATATTACTCAATGGTAAAATGAGATACACAAGAGATAAGTTATCCACGGTTAGAATGATAATAATGTTGGTATATGTTAAGACAACCATAGGTATAACGCATAGACCTTATACCCCGACTAAAGATATATACAGACTACACAACAAGACACGAGACAACCAGATTATTTTTGCGTGTACGATTATTGAATTATTATTTTTGTGCTTAAAACAGGTTGACTGTCATGTAACCCTTATGTGAGTCACACGATGTTTGCCAAAATGTTCTTGAGATAATTAATGATTTTGTTAATTTTGTTTTTGTCATGTTTTTATCGGTGTTGAAATATTTATAAAATTGATGCAACATTAAAAAAATTGTATTGAAGAAAATATGTAAAGCTTTTTTAATTATTTTACTACAAAATGACAAATATATTGTTGACAATGCAACACTATCAACTGAACTCCGCTCAGAATCATTTTTCGTTAGCAATGGTTTATCGTTACTTACATATATATATAGATAAAATTCCCACCTGTATCCTATCTTCCCAACTTCCCACCTACAACAGTGGCTGCACCCATGCGTGAAGTATGTCCAAGTTTTTTTTATATTCGTATTACAAATAATTAATCATAATAATTTATTTATTTAAATTAATTTAATAATTTAATAATAATAGGTAATAGGTATACAATTATTGGTCAGAAAAATGATAAAAAAAACTTCACAACTTTTCCGAAACTAATTTATCTTCAGCGTTTAATGGAATTTTAAATGATAGTGTCTCTCGAAAAATGTTGTTGGGTCATTTTAAAAATAAATAATTGACTCAATTATTAATTTATTAAAAAATTGGACTAAATTGTATAGATTATTTTTAAAGATACAAATAATCGATTATTAATCAATTATTCGATTATAATTGATTAATGAAAATAATCGCGCAGCTCTATTGTCTGTCCCAGAAGAGTGCGTTCCGCTTGTACGCATGTTTTCCCCCTCCACATAACTTGATTTCAGCGAAAACAGCCGATTGTCATTTCTTCTGTCGTTGGTTTTTGACTATACACCGCTAGGATATTTTGTAGAAATTCAATTGTTATTATTAGCAGACATCGCGCATCGCACGTTTCTTTACCTTTGCTGTTTTATAACCTCTTGATAATTTTTCAAATCATAAACTATCGTATATACAGCACCTTCTATAATAATCCAGACTTTATTTTTTTGTATACATATTTATTTATTTAATATCTTATTGAACACTGTAGGTATAATACAGTAGGTATGATACAGTAGGTATAATACAGAGATATATATTTAATAAATAATAAATAATTATATTAANGACTATCGACAGTCAATAGTGCATTATTTGAAACGCAGTGTACAAAACCTGCACCACTTCTGCGGTCGCCGTTGCTGCGCTGTCGATAGATCTGGGAGGGGATAAATGGAGTGTTGCGGCGTGGGGATGCGCAGTAGCTCTTCGATTTGGTCGGAGAGCGGATCGTTCTCTCCTGGGACAGACTATAGTCTTACTGGCCAAAGTGCTATTATTAATTTTTGGAACACGGTAATACTTAATAAAGTTGTAACCAAAATAAACAAATCAAAATAATTTACTGTCCTTACTGATGAAACTGTCGACATATCTGGTGTAAAGCAAGTGTTTATATGTTCTAAATATTTTTATATAGATGAATTAGTTTCAGAGAAGATTTTTTTGTAATTTGTTTTCACAAACAACTGGCAAACTCACGTGTGTGAAGTTAGCCCCTCCGCTTCACTACAAAATGTCGAAAATATTTGTAACGTAATTTTTTTTATTGGTAACTAATTGTAAACGACTTTTTAAAATTTGTAACTTTGCTTTACTAGAGTTACAGCTAGTTTCTCGAACCTCCCAAACTTACTAAAACTATTTGAAAGTCAATAAGTCAATAAATATTTGATGAATACAAAGTACCTATTGTATTATTTATATTGTTTATTAGTTATTAAAAAACAATTTGACAGTTTCAGTTTAAAAATTATAGGGGTCTTCCCACTATACTTTTAATTTTATTAATGAAGAGATGCTTTATTTATTTTTGATTTTTATTGGTAAATAGCAAAACAATATAAAAATCGCTATAAATAAACACAAAAACAAAACAATAAATTATGACAAGTACTTTTAAGATATACTGGATGGGTTATGTAACTAATGTAATTATTAATTAATTATATGTGAGTTGTGACCACCCTTTCAAAGTTGTTTACTTAAACTATGATAGATAAATCTAAAATAAGGGTAATTATAAATTTATAACAATTTGTAATTAATTTAAAAAAAATATTTAACCAATGATTATTTAAATAAAATGGACTTCATGAAAAGTGAAAAGTTAGGAAGGTAGGATATTGAGGGGAAATTAATTTATGCCTGTAAGCAACTATTGGTTACAAAAAACTATTAGACGCGGAGCTTGGTTAATAGTAGTGCGTTTTCATGACAATTGTTTGAATATTATGGCAAAAATAAATATCAAATCAGGAACATCAAACAACACTAGACATTGTACGAGAACCAAATGAAATAAAATCACGTTTATGAATGTTTAACATAATTATTAATTTTCAATTTCTTTCAGTATAGTCAAATTATAAATAAATGTATAATAATAATAGAAGAAAGTCCAAGAAAGTTGCAGTCTTCGTAATGTCAAAATTATGAAAAAACCGAAAAATAATAAACTTGTGTCTACCACAATTCAACCTTTTTACTTATTTTAATTAAATCAGGAACGAATGTATCGCCGCTGTGGCTGTCGTTACTACGGTTGTAGATAAACCATGGTCTACATATTCTATCCAGGGAGCTATGTGCTACCCGATATCATATTATTGGATTTTTTTTGCGTTAAGTACTATACTAAATTAAAGTTTTTCTTCCCATATTAACAGAAGTAATCAGTTATACAATCTATGATCTGTTTTTGACCACAGATATGTATAAAAATGGTTACAAATTAAGTTTAATAAATTTCAAATATTTTCAAATTATTATAGTCGGTTGGGGAGCTATCCCTGCCTCGAGAAACTAGCTGTAACTCTGGTACAAAGTTGACCTTTTAACTATCACTGGCCTAAATATTAAATTATGTACATGTCTATTATTTAAAGAAATACACACTGAAGTAAGTACCTTAATCTTTTAAGACTTTCTTTTTCTTTTATTTCTTCTTCCAGCAGTTTTCTCTTCTTCCTTCATCAATAAATTGTAGAATTCCTTTAAATGAGGTGGAAATTCTTTAAATTCCAAAGAATTTTCATTTTTATTATCATCAGTTTTTCTGTACATAAGAATGTATGGAATTTCCTTGGCGATTTCTTTAACTGTAGTCTTTACACCATCACTAATTTTAATAATATGTTCCATTGATGTCTAATTAAATGTTTAAATAAAGGACAAGAAAATTTTAAATATAAAATCAATTAAAGTTAACAGAATAGAATATACATATAATATAAATTTTTAATATTTACCACCGTCACCGAATCATCATTGAACTTTAACCATTGATTAGTTTTGAAATCTTTTATAAATGCATAATAATGACCACCATTGTAATCCCCTGTATGTATTATTATAACATAGAGGTGATATTTATTAGATGCATGGGATAAATTTTCAGAATCTCCTTCTTTTACCTAAAATAATTTTATTAAACTTAATAAATCAACTATTAATACCTATACATTGCATATGTTTTCATTGACACAAAAAAATCTCCAGTATTAAGTTAAGTATGATTTTTGGGTTTTGAAAAATCAATCTATGTTTGATATTCAAATTAAATCATAGATAATTGAATGTATCTGTTACTAAGCTACCACTTAGAATACCCAGAGCAAAACGTTACATCATTGCATCAAAGATAGAAATTGTATTATTCTTTTAGAATATTCAATACTACTCGTAGATTTGTAGGAGTGAACTGAGTATTCGACCCACTGTTTTAGAAGATAATCGACACAAAAGGTCCAACATTTTTTCATTTCATTAAATACACTTTTTTTACATTTTCTTGAAAATTGTCTACTTTGAAAATAAATTTTGTGTGGTTTTCCCAACAGGTTACAGCCTCAACATGTTGGTTCAATAATAATATTTCACTATTAGCCAATTTCTATTAGTCTTTTTTTTTTTTTAAATAGACTTCTACTTAAAATTAATAATGTAAACTTAAATTTATTGTCAAGTGATGCAAACAGTATCATTTTGATATGCTTATTACCATTGTTTTTAAATTATGTTGACATAGAGGAATATAATCATTTTGTTCTGCTGAAATTTTTTTTTTTAAATCCTTGAAAATAAAATAAAAATTGTTCATAAATAAGTATTATATTGGCCTTATAAAGTCAGTAGTGCACTGTGATGTAGAACAGTGAGCCAGTAAACTTCTATAGATTTGGCATTGTATTTTGTGAAAAAGCATTTATCATAATATTAGCATTTTACAACAAATTTTCATCATAAACATAATTTTTTTTTTTTTATTTATGACAATATAACAATTTAAAAAAAAAAAAAAAAAATCGTGTTTAAAATATTCAAGTTAGAAATTGGTCCATGTATACATTATGTATGCATAACTGGTAAACCTACTGTGGAAATCAGCTGTTAGAATAAAGTTTAAGGCTACTAGTAAAATTATTTTGATTTATCAACACAATTGAAGATAATATTATGAAGATTAGGGGTCTCTAATGGATAATATTCTAAAATTATGTGTGTCAACAGGTGTGAATTAACATTCAGTATGTAATAGTTCAAAGTATTTATCAACTGTAGAAATGTTATGAACATCACCTATATCATGACCCTACATTTAATAATAAATTATCCAAAATTATCAAAATTAGTAAAAACCTAAATAATAATACTAATGAAATTGTTTTGTTTTGTTAGTTTTATTACTTTCCAATTAGTAAATGTTTTTTATGAAAAGATACACATATATGTTTTACTTTACTATAGAATTCCATAATGATATATACTATATTAAAGTCAAGGGTGATTAAACGGGCATGATTAGGGGGATTTACCACTCTCATTATCTGATTTTTCCGATACAGTTTTTCTGAAATTGTGATATTCCACAAGCGTATATCACTTATATCTTATTATTAATACTTGATAATTCCTGTATGTTTTATATCAGTATTTTTATATTATATTAAATTTCTAAATATATTTATATACAATTATATTTTATAATTTTGTAAAATAAAATCTATTTTATTTTGGTTTTCATTATTTATTCGACAATGAAAATTTGAATGAAGCAGACTAGGAATCTCTTGTTTTTATATGCTTATCTACCTACTAATAATGCGTTTACCTCTCTCAGTGAACTGAAAATATGGAAACTAAAAATGTCTCATCTAAATGAAAGACCATCAAATAGAATTGATGCATTAAAACTCTATTAGCCAACTATATACCTAAGTATTAAAATATTATATCTCCTACAGAGGTTATTGATAAGGTGAAAATTAAACAAAATAATTTGGTTTATACATTTTTAAATGTTACATAACAGTTTTACAAAAATTTGTTTTAATATCAATAACAATTTGTTTTTGGTTTATTTTAATATTTTGGTTTTTTTTGAAAAAATTGGTATTCAGAGTGCAAAAAAAAATTTTTGGGTCAACGAAAATATCTATTTAATTTACTTAATTCAACTAACCTTTCTTTTTACACTACTTTCTTTGAATTTAAAACTATTTATATTTATCTCTAAAGGAAATTGAATTCTAGTAAAAAAAAATTAATAATTAAATTATGATATATTTTATGATGATCAAAAATCATATATTACTCGTCAGACAATTTGATGTAATTTGTAGTTTGGTAATTAAATTTGAAACGCTTTAAACAAATTGTCAATATATATGGAAGCTCGCTGAATTTTAGTACTTTCTCAGCATTACAATTTTTTTTACAACAATTGCAAAAATACTGATTGTCACCATCTAATATTTCAATCTCAGTAAAACCTTTTAGTGCATCAATCTAAATATAGTTAATACTAGTTAGTTAATATATTAAGTACTTATTAAAAAAAAAAAATGTGTAGGAAGTTACTAGACTGGTATAAACTTTGGTACTTCTAGAATGATGTATAGGCAAAGAAATGTCTAAAAACGTTTCTTCTTGTAATTTTTCAGTTTTACATACATTACATTTTATGCAGTTAATTATTTGACCTGTTAATAAATCTATATATTAATTCAAAACTATTAAACAAGCATATATATAATTACATAACTATCGAAATTACCTTGAAATATGTTTATAAAATTAAAATGGCATATAGTTTTTAATTCTTCTTGGAAGCTTTTTAAAATGTTTACAAAAAACTCCTGTGCATCTCCTTGCTTCATCCTGCCGTTTGATTTCCATTCAACAGTTTCATTTGATGGGTCCTATTAGTCATAAAAAATTAATTGAAAAAAAAATAAATTATAATAATATTGATAGTAAGAAGGTAAAGGGCGTAAGTGACACTTTTTTTAAAATCAGATTTTTTTGCATGTAAATGGCATAATTATAATTCAATTGATCCAACTTAACTTGATCTCTTGATTCCCCGTATGACCTTTGACTAGAATTCAGTGCTGAAATAAGGTCCAACAGCCATATATTAAAATTAAATGGCCAACTGAACCTGCTTAAATATCGATATCATGTGTTTATAATCAATTATAATATGTTGTTAATGTCATAAAATTGGCGGAATTGAAAAAATTATGTGTACGTGGCCAATTAAAAGACGTAAATAGCATTCAGTAAAACGTTATAAAACATAACAGAAATTGTTGACAGTTATATCAATTTATCATTTTAGTTATTGGTTGTTTTTTGAATATTTTTATAGTAACTTAAAAATTAACAAGTAATATACATTAAATGTATATGATTTTAATTTTACATAAAATCTTTAAAAAATAAGTTATTGTGTATAAACAAGTCATTCTATTAAAGAGAACAAGTTGTGTTAATAGTTCAATGGTTTTACAAATAATTAATACCTAAAGAATAAAGGTATGTCATTAAGAGTATTTATAATGTATAATGGATAATTTAATTCATTAAACTAGTAAATTGTATTTATTAATATGATTATCATAGATAGGTACAAGAAATCTTTCAAAATTAAATGATGATTGGAGTTTGATAAATTTGGTATAATTGACTTATATTAGTTTAATTAACTAATTAATATAATCTTAAGTTTGTATTATATAATTATTGAAATAATTGTACTAATAATCATCATAGATTAATAAATAATCTGAAAAATAAAAAAATTGTTAGGTCATATATTAATGGGGTGTAAGAGCCAGGTACAGAAAACAGGGCATAAGAAACATTTTTTTTTTATATAGGCTATAATTATAATTATATTATAATTATGAAAAATGTATCAATCAAAAAAAGAAATAACAACCCATGTTTCATATTAAATCTGTAAACAATTGGTTATACAATGTTCTAATGCTGGAAAACAATAACGCTAATAACAAACAAACGATAACAATAACGCTGTAAAATATTAGTTATTTGGCTCTCTTGAACAATTTGGATTTAGTGCTTACGCATTTTTACCTTCTAACCATTAATATTATGTATTTACTATAATTAATTTTAGTACTATAGTTCAATATTGATAATATAGGTACTAACTTGTAATTTTAAAAATAGTTTTTTCATTTGAACAATTGTCATGTTAGCAGAGTAATAATTAACATCACATTTGTACAATAAATTCTTGAATTCTGGAGTCATGAATAAAGATTGAATAATACTGTTGCGAAAACAGTTATTACTGCTATTAACTAATCCTTTATATTCTGTAACCAAGCATAATAAATTGCATAACACAAAATATGTAGTTCAATAGAATTTATTAATAGAATTAATAGAATCTGTTATAGTGTTGTGTTTATGTAAACTTTGAATTTAATTAGTATGGATTTTGTTATACTTTTAAAATAAAATTGTAAATTGATTAATTTAATTAATTTAACTCTTAATTTCTGGTTCATGATCCAACCAAGTATTATAGCCAAAATATCTACTGAATAACTGACCTACGTCAAATACACATTCTTTCAAATTATTGCAGGATCTTATAAGAATTTTCTGAATTTGTATAGTTATTTTTATAGTAATTAAGAATATTTTATGATTGATAATCAGTGTTGAGCATTATCTAGATAAATAATTAATTATCTTTTATCTTATATAGATAATAAACAATATTAGTTATCTGATGATTAATCTTAGATGAATAATTGAGTTATGTAACGTAATTCATCTAGATAAATAAATATATATATACCTATCCGAGAAATTCAAAGAATTGAACTTGAAAATTAAAACCCATGTTTCATTAGTAAACCAACCTTGTATAAATAGAGAAAAAAAAATAAAAACATAATGTAATAGGTAATAATAATATTATCTGGGTTGCTTATTTGTGTTATTTCTAAATTCTAATAGAAATTATAGATTATAGAATCTAGTATAAATTAACAAAAAAATTGTAGATTATTTATAAAATTAGAACAATTTTATCTTTTTTTTTATCCAAATAATAGTGTTTTATCTTTTATCTTTATTTAGATACCTTTTTAGTTATCTTTGGTTATTCATTTAATTTTACCAATAATAGATGTAATAAAAGTACATATAAAAAAAAAAACTAGATTCCTTTTTTTTACTCTGAATATAAAATGTAAAATATTAAATACTAAGTTGAATAATATAATACTGTCAAACAATGTTGACTTTTGATTTGATCTCTACCTGTACATATTGCGGGCGCTTCAGTTGAATCCTTATTGTTTAGATTGTCCATTTTATAGTTCTAAACAAATATTGAATTGTACATTAGATAGTTGCGTTAGGTAAAAATTAAAAATTAAAAATTTTACTTTAAAGTTTTAAAAACATTCAGAAAAATGATTATAGGAATAATTTAATTAATTTAAAAAGGTAGCATCATATTTTGCATCAAATATAAATTACCTATATCTTTACTATAACTTACAAGATAATATGTATATTAGACGGTGTTCATGTCTTATTTCACTTCTCTATAAATTAATACCTCTGTTGTATATATTCAAATTTCGTCATCAAAATAGACTATGAATGAAGATTAATAGTTTAGATTGTGTATTAGAAGTTCTAAAAGTATGATTTTATGCGGATTAAAAAAGAAAAATGTACTAAATTTCATTAATATGCACATTGTATCTAGTATTTAAAGATAACATCCCATAAATAGGTAGATACTTTACTATATATATAATGTATATTGTATTTATTTGATAATAATAAATACTACATTTTTACTACACAATATTACACACTCTGATCTACAGGAAAGAAGTGTAATATACAAATATATGAGTAAAGTTATTGTTATCAAAATATTTCTTAGAATCTTAAGTAATGTTAACATTTTTTAAACAAATATGAAAAATTGAATTTCTTGGATATTTTATTCAAAAAATATAAAAATCAAAACCAATATACATATATATTAAATCTAAAGGAGCATTAAATTCTAAACAAGAAATATAAAATTGTTGTTATTCTAAAACAAAATATATAATTAAAATCGAATGCTTCACAATATGTAGTTAGTTTTAATAAGTTAGATGACGTACAAGCATTTTCCCTAGAAAACTACAAAGTTTAAGACAGACTTTTCAGTGTAACTTTACATTTAATATATCCCAATGTTGAGTTGACCCCGTAAAAAAGAAAGTATACTGCTTGTAGCAATTCAAAAAAATGACAGGCTTCTTAACAACTTACTACATAGCTACCAACCAAATGTAAAGAGTATACAGTGCATAGAACATACTCAGCTTTATAGATTTTCTTCTTTGGTTCTTGATTGTAGGCTTCAGTAGGCTTCTGATATATAGTTTACATTATCATAAGATTGTCCTATAAATTGGCTAAATTAATATTGTACAATGCAAGAGTAGTTAACACATTATCAGCTAATTGTTTAGATTTATGCCATCATCATCATCATCATCTAAATGCCTCGCCTTGTCGTGATAGCCATAAGTCTCTGTCATTTGCCATGTTTTTCAATTTTGAATATGTTGTGACCTCCATGAGATGTTTGAGGTCTTGGAAATATGATGTTCTTGGGCGTCCTCTAAATCTTTTCCCCAAGATCTTTTCTTCGAAGATATTTTTCATAAATGTGTTATGTCTGAATAGGTGCCCTATTAATTTCGTTTTCTTTTTTAATATGAGTTTTATTATATTCCTTTTTTCGCTTATATCTTTCAGCACTTGCTCATTTGTTTTCCTTTCAACCCATGTTTTGTTCATTTTTCTCCAAATCCACATTTCCAATTCTAAGCGGTCCTTTTCCTGATAGTCCAAGTTTCACATCCATATAGTAACACACTCCACACAAATGTTTTAATGAATTTTTTCTTCGTTTCGATTTTAAGGTGTTTGCTAGTTAATAGACTGTTTTTCTTTATGAATGTTTGTTTAGCTTAAGTTATTCTTTTTTTTATATCCATAGTGGATGTATTATTATATGTTATTATACTTCCCAGATAGGAGAACTGTTCAACTTCTTGGATTACAATGTCGTTTAATTTTATAACTGGGTTGGTGTATATTTGATCTCTTCAGGCTGTCATTGTTTTTGTTTTAGTAGCGTTTATTTTCATATGAAATTTATCCATAACCCATGATAATATGTTAAGCATGAGATTCATGCTGTCTTCACTTTCTGCCACCAGTGCAATGTCGTCCGCAAATCTTATACTGTGTACCACTTCTCCATTTATTCTTACACTGTTGGTGACCTCTTTCATTTCTTCGATGGCTTCTTCCATGAATAGATTGAACAAATAAGGCGACAAGGGACAGCCTTGTCTCACACATTTTCTTATCTTAGCTTCCTTTATGGTTCCATTTATATCTATCAGTGTTGGTTGATCCTTGTATAATCTCAGGATAATCCTTCTGTTTTTCCAATCAATTCCTTTTCTTTTTAATATACCAAACAGCAAGAACCAATCTATTTTGTCAAAAGCTTTTTCTAAATCTATAAATGTTATATATGTTGGAAGGTTCACGTCCAACCTTCTTTCTATTATTAGTCTCAGAGCCAGGATTGCTTCCCTAGTTCTTCTCTCTCTCCTGAACCCAAATTGCTCTTTTCCTAGCTGACCTTCTATTTTCCCTTGTAGCCTATTTTTAATGATGTTAAGAAGTATTTTCGAGGCGTGTGATAATAGTGTAATTGTCCTATAATTAGTACAGTTGGTTGCATTTCCTTTCTTTGGTATTGTTATTGACTTACTCTTTATTTATGCCATGTATTCTTTAAAAAAACACAATAACTCTTTATGGTCTTCATCTAAAACATATCTTATTAAGAAAGATAATTGATTGATATGGGGTACATCAAGGTATTCTTTTAGAATATTTCTCAACACATTTTCATTCATAAAAGTTATAAACTGTTCATATGTATGGAATGATAATTATGAAGTTGACCCTTTTTCTTAATTAGCATATTATTTAGAAATGTTTGATGATAATAATAAGTAAAAATGAACTATTAATTCTATTGACATTAAAAAATTTCCATTGTATGGAAATCTAATTTTGTCTGAGTTACCTCTAAAAGCCAATCCTCCAATTGCCAAAGTTTTTACTACTGCAACCACTCTTTTCAAAACATTTTACCAATAATATTTTTAATAAACGATAATAATCAAAATAATGGAAAACTTTTCTTTTATTTTTGTTGAAACAATTATTACACAATAATAAATAATAATATACCTATCAATATAAATTTACTGCCTCCCTAAAAACTAGAAATTTTGTCACCTCAGGCAACAAGATATGGTTGATCTCCCCATTTCCTAATTATGTGCATGGCATCATATTATTAGTAATTATAAAATTTAACTGCTCAAAAATATAAATATGAACATAAAAAATTAATAAATTAACTAACTAAACAAGATAAAATAAAACAAAATATAATAAGGTAAACTAATTTTTGGGCTTAATATTATATAATATATTAAACACTATACATACTTAGCTAAACCGCAATGCATCAAATTACAAACAACATATGAATGGCATTATGCAACAAAGAAAAACTGGCAACTGTTTCACTTTGAATCATACAAGTTGTCAACATTCATCATGTAGTATGTTGATTAGGCTGAATAATATACAGTTTTAATTTTATATTCCATTTATAGATGCCCCAAAAAAATAAAAGTAAAGAAAAACACGAAAACCAATCGATAGTGTCAAATGTTAAAAAAGTAAAAAATTTGATTAGAGGTATAATATTATTATAATAGCTATAAGAGATGGACTTTCCACTGCCGAGTGGAAACTATCGAACTACTAGATAATTCAAACTATCTATTTATTTGATTGTTGTTTAAAGCTATTGACTATACTATCGAAATGATTAAATATCAAAACTATTAACTCTTGAGTAGTTCATTCTAATGATAACACTTATTCAATTCGCTCAATTGTTTTTTAAACTATTGATACACAATCGATAGTCAAAACTAATCGACCACGCCCATCACTTATAGCTACGTGACGTCTGAATTGTGTAATTTGACCATCTGTTTACGAGCATTAACAGTATGACACCGTTGAGGGATTATACTTGATGTACGTCAGGAGGGTGGTTTTTTCTTTATGAAAAAAGACAGCTGAAAGCTAATAGGAAATGACTAAGTGGGCGGGGTTGGTTTTTGGCGCTGGGATGTTTTTTAAATAAGCCATTCTGATCATCAAATATGTTTGCTATGTACTTATTGATCATCCATAACGGATAGGCTAAAAATATTTTTCAGTTGCTTTTGGCTGACTAAGCCACATTTGGGCATTTTTATTTGCTATAAAACATATTCAATGTTCAGTTTAATGATTTAATATTAAATTCAGTGAATTTTTGTTTTTCAGGAATATTCAATGTTTGAAATGTACTAGGCTTTGTGTTGTCCAATATTTCAAATATAGTTATTTAAACAAAATTTGTTTATACATGTATAATATACCGAGCAGGGGAACTATAGATTATTTTTAATTTTTATTGGTTTAGTAGTTTTTAAATATTACATTATTGGCTTGTATGACATTTTATTTATTATTATTATATCAATACAATTTCAAATTGTGAGAGTCTATTAAGTAATGAGTCGGGCAGTAAAGCGTACCCATGAATAACAGGATCCTAGGGAGGAGCGGCCATTGGGAGGATACCATAGGCCGACATTACGAATTTCACACTATGACTGGAAATTATCAAGATGTACAATTTATATTGGTAAAATAATACATTTTAATAATACATTCACTTAGAATCTAAAATTGTGAAAAATTGATACATTCATGAATATTAACTTCATCTTACCCATATTTTACATTCCCACTAGAATTAGCTGAATACCAATCAACCAAGTTGATCAATCTGTAAGAAAATTATTGTCTCAAAATGGATTAATTAGGTTTTTATGATTTTCTTTTTAACAATCTTATACTAACTATAGTATGTAAGACCAATTTCAGGTAATATCAGTTGTACAAGTCCCTCATTATAAATCACTTTAGTTTGTACCCATATTATAATACTTACAGAGACCAATAATTTGATGATATGTATGTTTAACACCATCCTTTAAATTAAATCGCAAAGCACCTATTTCGGCTGTTAAATAGTACTGTTCCCCATTATAATTATGTGAATTTACATACACTAGAATGAAATTTTTGTTGAGTAGTTCTGAAGTACAAAGAATTAGTTATTTAATTTTACAATCCTCTGGCATACAAATATTATAAATGTAAATCATTTCTTTCTTAGAGTTATTTATCAATGAAAATAGTAAAAATTAATTTTTATACATTGCGTAAGAAAAAAAAATTCAAAAATAATTGATCTATCAAAAACACTGTATAAAATGACAAACATTTAAAATTAACAGCAATTCTTTGGGTCATTTATACATTTATATATCTATAAGTTATTAGGTGTTTAAAATTATAAAATAATTAAATTTGTATAAAAAAAAAATTCTACATTACACTTTTTTTATCATTTAGCTCGTCTTAATATTATATGACATACTATTAAATTTTCAAGCATTTTTGTTTGGTCTAAAAAGGCATCCACGGATTACTAACCAAATAAAAATTATGTAAAAAACTCGCAAAAGTGTAATGGCATTAAATAATTTGAAAAAGCTCATATGCTTTGAAATATTACCATGTCTTGAAAAGACAAACATAAATTCATAAACAGAAAAAAAAATTTAAAATAATACATTTCGCACGTTTTTTCCGATTCTCAATAATGTATGTACCTATCTATGTATCTGCTATGTTGCGATTTGTTCGATCTCCTTAACAAAGCTACTCGTGAATCCTACAGTTAACCAAATTACTAATCGGGATGGGATCCGTTTTTCCCAATGATCAAATGATAAGAGCGATTTGTTTGTTATTTTTAATTTTATTAATAACTAGTGTTTTTTTTGAACAACCGTTTTATTGTAGTAGGTATACGTTAAAATACAAAACTAAAACTAATCAAAAACATTTTGATACCTACTAATGTCTGTGTGCGTGTTCAGTGTTGTCTACATATACAACCAAAGAGTTTACAAACATTACAACTTCTCCACACACTTCTATAGACATATAAATTTATGGACCGCGTTTTCTTCACCACCCGATAATTATGTTCATGAACAATATCACAATATTGAGTAAAGAAGATAGCAGGAGAGCGATGTTAGGGGCAACCATGGATAAAATACATTCATATTTTTATTGAGTGAAAATAAAATAAATTATTATTTGTTGTCACCACTGTAATTGGTAGATAAAATACCAACCAAACATTAAAAAAAAAATACATGTGTCCCTATACCGCAAACATTTCTGATCTAATCTATATCTGTGACATCACTGACATGACGTCATGTTCTGTATTATCAGCACTATTATGTTTATTATATTGTAGATAATTAAATAATTTTTTTATTTTATTATTATTAATAAAGCCAAAAGTTTGATCACACAAAACACTTACACTATTGTCGGTCTATTTAGAAAACCGCGCAACTCTAAAATACCAAATTATACCGTAGAAGAAAAAAATGTTTAATTAATTTTCACCAAACAAATTTGTACGAGTATAACTTCATTTGTTGTTCTTATTCTAACTGTAATATAATCAAATATATGTAAAAATACCATTTATTTTGGACTTACGTCAGTTACTTTCTATAATAGTTACATTTTTGAAGATATGATCTATTCTTTTTTTGTTCATACGACGATTAAAGATATACTAGTTGCCTAACGGTCTACGTTATAAGCGTTATCAAATGGAAATTTAAATTGCTTTCAGGAACAACTACTTAACTATCCTAGTGCGCCCTCTGTCCGTGAAAATAAAGTTATATTACAATATTGTGTGACTATTATATTTCACATCTGCAGTATTTCAGTAATATTTATTGGCAATTTTCATGCGAAACGTTGCATTTCTCTAGAAAACAAGATTCGTTTAACAAAATGGAACGAAAAATCCTTCTTCTCCTCTAAAAAAAACTTTTCTTTTCGATTTATTACAAAATCGCCAAATCCGAAAAATATATTTTAAAAAACATTGATAACATCAAAACAAAGAAACTCATAGACAATCTACAAAACCAGATGGAGAAGTCACAGAACGCAGTGACATTAATCTTACTGCTCGTGGACGCTCAGTTCAAACAATTCTGGAACTTTTAGAACACACCTTGTATGATTTAAAATAGCATAATAAAAATTCTTGGTCTGTATCAATACTACAAATATAAATGATGATAATCTTCAAATGCCCAATAATAATTTTTATCAATATATATTTGAACTTGAAAATATATTTCCATTTTATTTTTATTCAACGATTTTCTTTACTTGCTGTTAATAAAGAGGTGGCTTTTAATTTAACTACATTTTTTGATAATGTACCATTTAGCATCCTTGTCTACATTTTGATTATAATTATTTCATCAAATTATTTATAAGATTTAAAATATTTTCCTCCATTTCTTTTTAAATATAGAATTAATTTCAGAACGTAAAATACAAAATGGAAAGCTTAATATTTTAAAACATTTATAGGTAATTAATATTTTGTTACAATATGGTATTCTTACCCAATGTTATTCCTTTTTCTTATTTGTAAATATGATTATACAAAAAAAGTATGTATTTTGTAATTCCTAATATATTATTGCAAATTTGAATTTGTAATTCAATGAATGCATTTTAAAAATTATTAAATAATATCTTCCTAATGTTGTAGTTTTACTGGAACTTAAGACACCATAATGGGAGCGATCCTTGAAAAATTATTCAGCTAAAATTATAATTATCAAATATATAAGATATACATTTATTTTAGATACTGCCCTATTTCTAGTAATAAAGTGATTTAATCATTTACTTATTTTAATATTTCTATAATATAATATGCACATATATATATATATATATATATTATGTTTATTTACATTTTTTTTATTTTTCAGGTCTCTTATCTATTCTCCTATTTTGAATGATCATAAAATCATCATGAAAATCGGTACAATAATAAACAAATATTATTAAAGAAAACACATAGAGCTTATTTAATTATTTTACTATAATATGGCATATATATTGTTGACAAATCATCACTATCAACAAAATTCCACTCAAAATCGTTTTTTCGTGAGCAATGATTTATCGTTTTTTACAGGTATAGATTAAATTACGTATAACAGTGGCTGCATCCGTGCTCATTATCCTAGAACGTCTTTTTATTAATTTTGTGTACGAGGGCTAATCAAAAAGTATCGAGACTGATAATATTACTCGGAAACCGAGCGTTGAAGAGCAAAACGATTTGTAAANACATCTATTCGTATAATATCTCTATAAACTTCTTCGTTTTGATTTGACGATTTCTCTAAAATTTGTTTTTCACGTTTGGCGATTTAGTAATGAATCCAAAAGAAGCGGAACTCGCTGCCACTCGAGGGCACATTTTCAGTTTTTTAATTGACATATAATGGCAAAAACCATGAAATGTTGCATCCCTCTGAAACTAGAAAAAAATGCAGATAATTTTTTTAAAACCTCCAAATCTGTTAAGTTACTCTTCTTTTGGGTTTATTACAAAATCGCCAAACTCGAAAAATATATTTTACAAAAATATCAGTGAAATCAAACCGAATAATTTTATAGAGAAGCAATAAAAACAAATGTATTCAGAAAAAGTCATAGAAGCAAGTACCAATCCTACTGCTTTTCGATGCTCCTTTTCCGAATGATACTACCAGACTTGATACTTTTTGATTAGCCCTCGTATACATAATTGAAATTATAAAACAAAATATATATTTAAAAGAAAATAACAATTTTTATAACAAAACCAAAACTCAGCTAAGACCCTATCGTCAATCAATTCCTCGTCCTGTAAAAAGTCGGTATAAATAAAAATCAAAACTATACGGAGCCTAACTCTCTCCCAAAATATTTAAACTTTTCGTATTTATATCAATTGTTATAAAATTTGATCATTATAATATATCGTACAATCAGAATAAGATATTTTATTTTAGTATACCTGTATACGAAAAATATCCTTTTTAAAATACCACCCAGTGAACATTTTCATTCAGAAAAGGTGTTATACTTGATAATCGGAGTGAGCTTTCTGGTAGAAAAAGTGTTAACATTAAAAAAATCTATAAAAAATAATACAGATTAGTTTAGTTCCGATTGTGTGTATGTAGCAGTTAATGGCGTTCAATATTTAATTCTATTTGTTTACAAAAACTGACTTTGCGCTCTTAGCTTTAATATTGGAGTGTATTAGCTTGTTATCGAACTTAACGTTACAGACAAAGTTTGTTTTTGTAGATTAGATTTTGTTCAAGATTTAAATTATTAAATGATTTACAAATATTAGAAATATTACAATTTATTAATCATTGAAACTAGCTTAAAAATGTAAATATCGAGAAAAAACCAATAGACAATGTTTTTACCTTTAAGTTAATAATAGGTAAATAAACTTAAATATTAAAACTAACAGCAAAAATTTGGTTAAAGTACAAGTATACCTGTTGCCGCGATCGGCACTCAGCTAGTAGGCGAGAGTATGCCTTATGACTGACGGATAGGCAACCTAATTGGTCACACCATCGCAATTATTGTGTATTGATTTATAAATTTAAAAAAATAATAATAATTATTATTATTATACACAAGCAGTATTGTTCAACACCAAAAGAACATTTTTATTTTACACCCAAATTATGGTCAGAAGTAGAATTTCAATATAACTTTGCACTGCCTGTGAGTCTGTGCGCTTATACAAATTTGTATAATTATAAAAGAAATTAATAAACAATCTATAAAATTATATGTAGACAGAGGAAAAATAAACGTAATCAATGAGCGTACAAATACATTTTTTGGTATTAAAATAAGTGTTGGTAACTGTATATCGCGTTGAGCGCTCCACCGGTCTGGTAGAAAGACGCCTTCACGATCCTTAGCTATTCAACCCAGGCTGCTCACTAATTAGATGGTATCAGGTATTTTATAAATAAAAAACAAGGAGCGTTAATTATGTGAATTAATTTTTTACATATATTGATAGTATAATATTAATGATAAAATAATATTTCTTAATGTAAATATTTTAAGATTGTTGCCTTTACATTTGTAGCTAAAGATACAATTGAATAATAAAAAATGTAATAAAACTATAAACTATTTTTTTTATACATCACGATAACCTTATAATAATGATAATAATTAAAATTATAATAATGTATATTAAGGTTAGAGAGATATTTGATAATATTTAATATCTCACGGTTATAGATATTTCTGCTGAGGGTGAGACGCCAGGTCACTTGGGTACAATATAATTAATACAATAAAAACTAATAAAGTTGGCCTGCACGCCGGGACCACTCAGTAGAAAATACCTTCGATGGCGCCAAACATTGTCTGGAATAACAAAACAAATAAAACGAAGAATAGCAACATCAACAACTTAACATTTAGATTCGCAGAACGAACAGCAATAATAGTAAGTAGCGATCATCAATTTTGTTACAAAAACAATATTGCATTTATAAACAGAATATATTTTAATGATTAATAAAATATGTCACGGCAATCATTGGCCTTGAATATGGTGTAGATACGATGAACTACGAACCACGTACTTGACACCTTGGTTGGTACGTCGGAAAAGATATGCATAAACAATGCAGTAAAAAATAAAATTTTAAAAAAAGTACATAATATGTACTTGAGAAAACATAGAGAAACGGCATGTGCGCGACTATAATGAAAACTATAACTGGTACAACTAATCTACCAAACAAACTAAGAAATTTAACGGGGTTACTAGGAACATCGGGAGTCGGACGTGATGCCCATTATAAGAATACGAGAAGAGCAGAAAACAACAAACAGTATGATCACCGGAGAACGAAAATACTTCCGGAAGAAAAACGGGATCCCTGCGGGCAGCAATACACCGAAGCTGACGCGTTACTACCAACCTATGCAAACACTTTTTCGCGCTGAAACAAACTCCCTCCGTTGAAAGGAGTATCTCTTTCAACCTAATACATAAACAATGTGTACAATAATATAATAACTGAATACAAAACAAAAGAAAATTATAAAAATTAATAACATTAAAAGACTTAACACGGTAACATGATTGCAGAAACATAACAATTACGCTTGAGTAGACTCTTCATCTTCTTCTTGGTTCGGGAGCAGACCCTACAGATTGATCACAAACTTATATAGTCTAACCCCACTACTTGACTTGACGGTAACAACACGTACAACACCACCAGCCCCTGGATGAACTTGTACAACAACTAACTTTCAAAGAAACGAAGGCAAATTTTCCTCTTTTAAAATTGCTATATCTTCAGCCTTCACTACATGACTGATTGATACTCAACATCCTCTTCTTTGTAATTGAGGGAGATATTCAAAAGACCATCGCTTCCAAAATGACTGGGCTCTGACACGCATCAATTCGAAATGACAGTCAATTATCTGAAACATTAGAAATATCTGGCTCATCAGGCAAAAGTATGAGACCTCGAGTGAGTTCAAGATAACCACAATACAGCACAGCAAAGTATTGATTTCTTTGAACTTAAATAGGGCACTGTTTAGGGCTAAGTTTGACACTATATACGAATGATGCTTAGCGAACTTCACCGCGGACTCCCAACGGACACCGGAATGGGGCGCAGAAGGTGGTATGAAATTGAATACCTCGATTGGCCAAAAATGATGGTTTTAAAATGATTATTCAACACCTTTGAAGCACCAACAAAATTAATTAGTGCCATTATCGCAGTGAATAAGTGAAAATAATCCTTTTCTCGCCATGAACCTTGTGAGAGCAGCTAGAAAGTTCTAAGTAGAAAATTCTGTGACTAGCTCTAGATGTATAGCCAGAGTTGAAAAACATAAAAAAACTGAGATATATGTCGTGATTGATGTTATTCAATTGACACCACTTTTAATCATTATAAAACCACAAAATTCAACACCACTGTGTGAAAATGAACCGAAAACAGTAACTTATTCATTAATCAATGGATCCATTAGCGGCGTTTCCAAGGATGGCTAATTAACGGTTTTAGCGACCCTACTCTTGATCGGTATGTGAGTAACCGAACTAGAATGGCATTTGAGCTCTACACAGTACAAATATAAATTCATGACCCATAAGCAGACTGGAAAGCATCACAGAAGGCTTGGATCTCTATATGAACACTTTAATCAGGAATAACTCGCCGTTGAATATGAATTTGATTCAGTGATTGTAGACTGGAATAAACGTCGATCCAAGATTTGTGCTTTTAGTGTGTAGCAGAGATAATTCACTTCTGTCATATCGTCCAGCATAAGAGCGATACAGCCATCGTGGTCAACAATATTAGTTTGGATTATGTCATAAGCTTTTGTGACAATAGTCATAAACCAATTTATCTAATCGAGTATAGATTTGGGTCAGAGAATTGATGATGAATCAAATCTGTTTATGTATGATAGAAGTGTAGTCATATACTTCTTTTGTATGTACCTCCTCTTGATTAACTTCAACAAACCGAGAACCGTACATTCTGGGTTCGCCATGTAGATTGTATAATGACAAGTATAACAAAACGAAAAAGTGATGCGTGTATATAAGCTCACTAAGAAATGGTGACACAAAGTGCATAGAGTAAAAAGTAAGGAAAAGCATGTTGAAGTAACCAAAGACTGTATATCACGTTTAAAACTCCATTAGTCTGGTAGAAGGACGTCTTCATGACTGTTAGCTGTTCAACCCAGGCTGCTCATCAGTTAGATAATATCAGGTAATTTGTAAGTAAAAAACAGGTATTATCAATTCGGAACAATTAACTTCTTGATAATATAATAAATGATAAAAATTTTTTTTTTTAGAACACATTTTTAAAGATTGTTGCCTTTACATTTGTAGCTTAAGATACAATTAAACAATAAATAATATAATAAAACAATAGTTAAAACTTAATTTTTTATACATCACAGTAATCTTATAACGATAAAACATAAAATTAAAATAATGTATATTAAGGTAAGAGAGTTACATAAAACATAATATTTAATGACTCACAAACAAAGATATTTTCGCTAAGGGTTTTAAATATGCTCATAATTAAGATAAAGATATAAAATTATATTTTGAACAAATTATTCATATCATCTATGCGCCGTAATATAACATAATGAATAGATAATTATCTACTTAAATGTCGTAATGTATTTTCGTTCTAGTCACCCTAAAATAAACCAATTTCTCTAAAGAGCTAAAAGTTAACATTTCAAAGTTGATGCATATTTATATAATCAGAGTCTGACCTTACTATTAAAATTTAATGAGGCATTAGTAAGGTCCAACGCAAAAAATGTTTCTATGGAAATTCTTGATTAAGGTTTTGAGTTGCAAAATCTACAAAGTAGAATACAAGAAATACAATATTTTGATTTAAGTCATTATTTGAGCTAAAAGAGAGAAATATCTGTTTTGGCCATGCTTTGTGTGCTCAGATACTCATTAAAAATAGGCCATAAAAATATATAACAAGTTCTTAGGGTGAACTAAGGGAAATAATGACTGAATGTGCTCATAAATTAGATGACAAATACAAATTATAACATAAACATAGTCATCTTATAAGATATAGAACATACATAACATATTTTATTCAAAGGTATTCAAATACATTATAATTATCTAGCTAACTGTTATTATGTATTTTCGTTCAAAGCACGCTAAAATAAACAAAGGTCATAAAAAAATGTTAAAATTAACGTAAACGAATTGGTGTATTTTATTAAACAGAAATTGACCTTACTAAAAAAATATAATGAGGCGCTAGTAAAGTTCTTTTGCCAACACAAAACATATTCCTATCCAAAATCAAGTGAAAGGTTATAAGTTCAAAATCTACAATTTAATCAAAACTCATAAAATGAATAGACTATTCACTATGATAGATTTTCTACAAAGTGCACTTCTATAGAAGAGCCAATTGCTCAAGATTTTATTTATACAGAACCCATATAGATCCTTCAAGGTGAAAACTCAACCCCTGTTACAAAAAAAAGAGAATCTCGAAACAAATTTAATGATTTCAGACATTAACTGAGCTAAGGAAAGAAAATATCCATTTTGGCCATGCATTGTGTGCTCAGATACCTATCGGAAATAAGTTATACAAATAACTGATAAGTTATTTTGTTGAACACAAAAAATTAATGACTGAATGTGCCTATAATTTAGATAAAAAACACACATTAAAATATAAGAATTGTTTTCATATAAAATATAAGTAATTCATAATGCATTTCATTTATCTACTTAGGTGTTATGTTGTATTTTCGTTGTGGACAACCAAACACATACATAAGTCATTAAAGAGGTAAAAATTAATGATTATTANATAAAGAACCTATAAAGATCCTTCAAGGTGAAAACTCAACCCCTGTTACAAAAAAAAAAGAATCTCGCAACAAATTTAATGATTTCAGACATTAACTGAGCTAAGGAAAGAGAATATCCATCATGGCCATGTATTGTGTGTTCAGATGCCTATCAGAAACAAGTTATAAAAATAACTTATAAGTTTTTTGGTGTACAATAAAAATTAATGACTGAATGTGTTTATAATTTAGATAAAAAACACACATTACAATATAAGTAATTCATATTGTATTTTATTTCTCTACATAGGCTTTATGTTGTATGTTCGTTGCGGACAACCAATGATATACATAAATCATTAAAGAGGTAAAAATTATTGGTTAATAATTGTTGTACTTTTTAAATCAAAGGTTGACCATAAAAGATAATTACAACGAGACCCTGGTAAGGAGGTTCTGCGAAGTCTAGAATGTAATCAAAATTCTTGAAATTATGCTAGGAGAATATTCAATATGAATAATGTTTCTACGAAGTCCACTTCTATATAAGAGCCAATCGCTCATGATTTTATTTATACAGAACCTATAAAGATCCTTCAAGGTGAAAACTCAACCCCTGTTACAAAAAAAAGAGAATCTCGCAACAAATTTAATGATTTCAGACATTAACTGAGCTAAGAAAAGAAAATATCCATTTTGGCCATGCATTGTGTGCTCAGATACCTATCGGAAATAAGTTATACAAATAACTGATAAGTTATTTTGTTGAACACAAAAAATTAATGACTGAATGTGCCTATAATTTAGATAAAAAACACACATTAAAATATAAGAATTGTTTTCATATAAAATATAAGTAATTCATAATGCATTTCATTTATCTACTTAGGTGTTATGTTGTATTTTCGTTGTGGACAACCAAACACATACATAAGTCATTAAAGAGGTAAAAATTAATGATTATTAATTGTTGTACTTTTTAAATCAAAGGTTGACCATAAAAAACAATTACAAGAAGACCTTGGTAAGGACGTTTTGCTAATCACCAAAAATGATGTAATGCAAAATCATGCAAGATGTTATAAGTTGCAAAGTCTAGAAAGTAGACAAATTTCATGAAATTGTCCTAGGAGAATATTCAATATGAAAAATGTTTCTACAAAGTGTGATTCAATAGAAGAGCCAATAACTCAAGATTTTATTTATAAAGAACCTATAAAGAAACTTCAAGGTGAAAACTCAACCCCTGTTACAAAAAAAAAAGAATCTCGCAACAAATTTAATGATTTCAGACATTAACTGAGCTAAGGAAAGAGAATATCCATCCTGGCCATGTATTGTGTGTTCAGATGCCTATCAGAAACAAGTTATAAAAATAACTTATAAGTTTTTTGGTGTACAATAAAAATTAATGACCGAATGTGTTTATAATTTAGATAAAAAACACACATTACAATATAAGTAATTCATATTGTATTTTATTTCTCTACATAGACTTTATGTTGTATGTTTGTTGCGGACAACCAAAGATATACATAAATCATTAAAGAGGTAAAAATTATTGGTTAATAATTGTTGTACTTTTTAAATCAAAGGTTGACCATAAAAGATAATTACAACGAGACCCTGGTAAGGAGGTTCTGCGAAGTCTAGAATGTAATCAAAATTCTTGAAATTATGCTAGGAGAATATTCAATATGAATAATGTTTCTACGAAGTCCACTTCTATATAAGAGCCAATCGCTCATGATTTTATTTATACAGAACCTATAAAGATCCTTCAAGGTGAAAACTCAACCCCTGTTACAAAAAAAAGAGAATCTCGCAACAAATTTAATGATTTCAGACATTAACTGAGCTAAGAAAAGAAAATATCCATTTTGGCCATGCATTGTGTGCTCAGATACCTATCGGAAATAAGTTATACAAATAACTGATAAGTTATTTTGTTGAACACAAAAAATTAATGACTGAATGTGCCTATAATTTAGATAAAAAACACACATTAAAATATAAGAATTGTTTTCATATAAAATATAAGTAATTCATAATGCATTTCATTTATCTACTTAGGTGTTATGTTGTATTTTCGTTGTGGACAACCAAACACATACATAAATCATTAAAGAGGTAAAAATTAATGATTATTAATTGTTGTACTTTTTAAATCAAAGGTTGACCATAAAAAACAATTACAAGAAGACCTTGGTAAGGACGTTTTGCTAATCACCAAAAATGATGTAATGCAAAATCATGCAAGATGTTATAAGTTGCAAAGTCTAGAAAGTAGACAAATTTCATGAAATTGTCCTAGGAGAATATTCAATATGAAAAATGTTTCTACAAAGTGTGATTCAATAGAAGAGCCAATAACTCAAGATTTTATTTATAAAGAACCTATAAAGATCCTTCAAGGTGAAAACTCAACCCCTGTTACAAAAAAAAAAGAATCTCGCAACAAATTTAATGATTTCAGACATTAACTGAGCTAAGGAAAGAGAATATCCATCCTGGCCATGTATTGTGTGTTCAGATGCCTATCAGAAACAAGTTATAAAAATAACTTATAAGTTTTTTGGTGTACAATAAAAATTAATGACCGAATGT